GAATAAGGCATTGAAGATTATTTCTAATTCTGTTACGGAGTAATTATCAAATACAATTAGAAAAAAAAAGAATTAAAGCATAAAGCTCCGAACAGCAATATCAAAAATTATTTCAAAAGTTCTGCTCTTATACATTTGCCAGGTTGTTTGACAACTTACTGATATTAATAAATATTATTGAAATTAATGATGAAGAGTTGGTGTTAAAAAATCAGTATAAACAGGAACGTGTCATTTTAAGCAGAGTTGAATGATCGCTAGCAGTGGAATCTACGATGCACGTTTCGTTCTATTCGGTATTAGCCAGTTGAATGTACCTGATTTTTAAAGCGAGTCCCGTAGTAAATGTCATCATTGGAATTCAGATATATTCAGCTGCCGAGTCCCAAATAGGACTAGACACCGTCGATCTCTGCGAATACTGCTGGTAGTTTATTAGTAATATCAAGGCAATCCTCACAGAATGCATAGCGGACAAAAGGGACTGATCGATTACAGTCCTAAACATCAATAGGAAAATCCCAAACAACCAATACAAACGAATAATTATATGATGTTGACGAAATAGTGACTGTCAACAAGACTAAGGTTGCTGACTCATCAATGTTACTACTACCACTACTAATATTCTTACTCTCAATTGTAATTCATTTTATATTGAAAGAAAAAGGGACACCGTTTATCTTAAGATGGTAGTATTAAATATAATTTCATAGTAATATTCAGGGTCAAAGTGTATAGTGTAGCGGTGAGGTTAAAAATACCGCAATAAACAATCATGATAATGTTGATTGTTTTGTTATACACCATTTGTTTGGGAAGAATTGAGCATTCGATATATATTCAAATTATCTGTACCTGAAAAGATCGTAAATATCATACAGAATTCATACGATGGACTACACTGCAAAGTCGTGAATGGAGTACAGCTGACAGATGCATTCCCAGTGAGGACCGGAGTCAGATAAGGCTGGTTACTCTCCCTCTTTCTCTTTCTTCTGGTGGTCGAGTGGATTATGAAGACTCCGAAATCTGAGAGGAAACACAGAATACAATGAACAGCCCACAATCAATTAAGAGATTTTGACTTAACAGTTGACCTGGACCCTCTATTCCAGACACGAACAAATGCAGATGAGGACAACCAGTGTAGCAGTAGCTTCTACATCAGTAGGCCTCAACATACACAAACGAAAAAAGAAAATACTCAAATACAACACGAAGAACACCAACCCATTCACACCTGATGGCGAAACTCCGTAAGAAAACTTTCATGTACCTGGGAAGCACCATAGATGAACAAAGGAGGATCGGATGCAGACGTAAAGGCGAGGATCGGCAAAGCAAGGGCCGCATTCGTACAATTGAAGAATATATGGAACTCAAGACACCCGCCAACCGACATCAAGGTCAGAATCGTCCGTGTGAACGTCAAAACAGTTCTACTGTACGGATATTTTACAAAGGCTAAAATATGGTATGTAAAATATTATAATTATGGACTTATAACTGTAGAGCCTGATGATGAAGTTATTGAAAATAGTTGTTCGCTCGAATATCCTCTTCATTTTTAAAGTGTAAATCTAAATTAATTATTAACCATTTACTAATTACAAATAACTTAGATAATAACGCACAAAACTTATCGGAACTATTATATTTTTATAATATTTTTATTGTCCATTTACATCGTATGTACTTTTATTGTATAAGTTAGGTCAAATGTCCGATGATTTTTTTTTTTCAAACAAGGAATTATTTTGTTTGAAAATTTCATTTTGCAAATTCATTAGAAATTTGTATTGATAATAAAACACTATTTACGTTATAAACTGATCTTATTTAGACAACTATTAAAAACCTGGAAGCACTAGACAACTATTTTGTTTTAGTATCTATCGGACTCTTCATCAATACTCATCGACAACCTCACATAGGATCGGATTCAATATATTAAGGTGTTTAGGCAAGCACGATGCTAAATACTGAGAAACTTGAATGGAAACATTTTAATTATTGTCATACTTTTTTCTTTAAGTATCCTTTAACAACATAAAGTTGGAGGCAATTGCATCGGAACTCATTCACTCATTATTGTGATCCATTAAGAAATAAGTTTCATCATCTGAACTTTCTCATTTGAATAATAAATGGTTGACATTGACTACTGGAAAATCTTTACGAAATAATTTTTTTAATTAATTGCAATTCGAATGTGTGTTTAGGAGTAACTTGTTGAAATATTAAATAATAGTTTCTAAGAATTCTTTCAAAAACGGTCACAAATTTCTAAAATTTTATTAACAGTGCAAAAATCTTACCAGGAATGTTAACCTCAAATTCCTTCTTTCTAATTTAATTTTCTGAGTGATTTTCACATTGCCATTGTCTTTAACTCTCTAGATTTCTGTATGCTTTAGTATATTTTCGACAATATTTATACGAAGTTGTACTATTTCGTTTTGTTGCGCTTGTTCTACCTAAAATATCAAGTTTTCTTACTGTTCATCTTCTCTGTATGCTAACCATTTGGTGTTAATATGTTATGTGCTAGTTCCTGTTATCGATTTCCACAACAGAACTTGTAGTATTAGGGTAGTTAAATCATTTCTAATCAAGCAATTATTGTAGATGATAAGTGTGCCACTGTTATACCTATAGAATCCCTAATTGACTTAGGCGTAATACTGAGAACGTTCAGTCTGACAATGTGTAGTGAAAACATAATGACTGCTAATATGGATTCATTCGACTCTGGAAATAAATCAAAATAAAATACGAATAAACCACTAATTAGATGATTTATCAGAATTGGTGTAGACTTAACTTAATAGTATTTAATAACAATGAATCAATAAATTACTTTGTGAACATATATTACAATATTATGCAACTAAGCATCTATAATTAACAGATATAATTAACTAATTAAGTTATATAATTACTTCTTTACAGGATATCACAGACAATTAGAAAACAAATCGATTTCATATGTTACTTGCACTTCATTAGATTAAGTCCTTATTTGGCATATTCATAGGTTTGTATTGAATTTCAAATACTGAAATTAAACAATTCTTTGCTGTAAGAGAATTGATAGTATCAAATAAAAGTATCATTATTATTTGGCCTCTTAATTAACATATTAAGAATTTCTATCATTTCTATCAAAACAACTCATATCAGTGGATAAGATTATTTTCAATTAGGTTTTCATTAGGATTTATTCTAATATAAAATGATATTTGTATATATATAAAGTGTCAAACCGATAAAGATAGTTACCAGCTAAGTGATAACAATGATATAGTTTACACAAACAAATGAGTAACAAAATAAACATTCATAGTGATATGACAAGCGGACTGGTAGTAAAATAAATGATAACAGCTTGAATCGATACTCCAACATAGGAAGTAGATCAAAACACTAAAATAATGATCATTAAAAGTTATTAGAATTTTACTATATGGACTTTTGAAATAATTTTGATTAGTGAAGAATGTGTGTGAAAAAAGGATTGAAGAAAAATAAACTAACAAACGATAAGCAAAATATTAATATGGATAATAAATATATTAATGATAATTAGTTAAATTGTATGTTAGGCCTTAATGAATCTAAAGGTAACAGATGTGACAAGTTTCTTCTGTATTTGTTGTTAAACTGATATAGAAGACGAGATTAGACCCAGTTAGGAAATGACGAAGGTTTACGGTAGATTACCATTTTCAACCAAGTGTGATAAGACGGAACTATGTATCATCGTTGTCCAACCCTTTCCAAACCACACAGGGGGGTTGTTTACTCATTCGTTGACCAATTTATCTTGTGATATGCTTTATATAGATTTTTCTACAACAGCGAATCAGTCTATGTTTACATAAATGTTAGTGTATATTAGAGTATTTAATATTTAATTAAAACAATATTGTTTGCTTATATGTATTGTTCATAATTAACAATCAGATAATCCTCTAATCATATAATCAAATCATATCAGTGTAGCTGTTTCAGTAATGTAAACTATGAAATTCATCAACCGCCATAGACCACTTATATTAATAAAGTTCATACCGCGATCATCCCAGCCATTGGAAACGTGAAACAGTTACTTGTCGAAGTTAGAAATGTAATGTATTGAGTACTGGCTCACTTGTTCGCAGGATAAGGTAAAACCGCCCGAACTGAAGGTCCTCTGCTCAATCTACGAATGGATTGTGAATAAAAATTGTTCAAATATTTTTATGAATTTCGTATAAATGACTGAAATACTTGCCAACATTGTAGGAGGAATAACGTTAGTCTGTAAAAATAAACAAAATTGTAGTCTAGGGATTGATTAATTTTGCTTAGTTTTGGTTTCTACTTCACACTAAACTTAGTCATCATATTAGTGGAACGTTTGACTAAACTAATTAATTTATTATTTATTTATTTGAACACATAAATATTGGTACAAAGGGGCACCAGATATATATGCACTACTAAACTAATTAAACCTCTTATCTACGTTATTCCTTTAGAATTAAACAAGATCTAACAGCTCAGGTGATATGCTAATCTAAATAATACAAAATGAAGAAGTGTATGTATTTAAAGCACAAAACAATCACATTATACTGTATTCTATTGAATTATATTGTGTTTTACCCTCATTTCCCTAAAAAAAACATTGGTACATAATGATTAAGACTTAAGAATTACACACACAATTGAAACCTTACTCTATTAATATTGATCATTAGAGCATACGGTAGTAGAACTCATGAATACATACACATTCACAAAATGCTAGAAGTGAGTCTTACGAATAAACAAACAAATTAGTAGTTACATGATTACTGTGCTGTTTTATTACCATTATTATTAATATTATGATTACTTAATAGTAGCATATTTTTTTCTTGTTAGTAGAATACACAAAATGAATTTCGACCAATAATATTTTCAGATAATAATCAAACATCTTTTTTTCATGTTGTGTTTTACCTCCACAGGAGTTTCATGAACAATTTAGCAACCTATATAAAACTTTCAAAAATTGAACAACCACGTCAAAGTGTCATGGTAAGTAATATGATTATTATGAATGGCTTTATTCCATTTTATATTATTGGTACAGAATAGAATTCTCAGCACAAAATATTTTGTGATCGGTTCTGACGATAAATATTGTGTGATTTCCAGTTAGATGTTGGCAGTTCAGGAATCGACCTCTGAATAATGTATATTGTTTTCGATGAATATAGCCAGCCATCACGACGTCTCTGATTGTACGTTTTTGTCAATTGTACAGTGAGATGTCGTAAACTGTTCATGAACGCTCCTGGAATATGTTGTACAATCAGTAGACATAATGATGTGTTAAAACAAACAGAAGAACAGATAACTTATTGAAATATCTAGTTGGGAGGAACAGATAACCCAGATATTCAAGCAGGCCGCCAAGTGATATCAAGTAGTATATTGTTAAAGAATATTTACACTTTTAAACATATCACCATTTGCTCTAATATTCACACTAACTGATCACTATATAAATGATATTTAAAATTTTGTGTTTATCCAACCCCTTTTTTGATGTTGATTGAATCTCATCGAGACAAAGTTGCATCAAAACAAATCAAATGTGATGTCAATTAGGCTTTGTTTAATGGGTTAACTGACTGTCCTAAATTGTTCAATGGTAATGTTGCAAACTTCGCTATTTTGTTTAATATCGATTCAAATCTCACCGTGACCATCAATTACCTTTACTTTGTAATTACACCTTGTTTTATGTGTAAATAATGCTAATAAATCATGAAACTTGAGTAGTTCAGATATTCCTCACTATCAGCTTCAGCAGTAATCTAATAGAATAATGTTGAATTGATCTTTTTTTTCATTAAACATAACAAATGTTGAAGAAAAGAACTAGATGACTACGTAGTTCAAAAATTAAATCGTTATCTTTATTCCAAACTTTGTTTTTTCTGGATAAGATTGTCAAGAACTGTTGAAGTTCCAATTCACTATTATAAAATGTTATATTAAGTTAGAGTTTTTATTATTAAATTAGTTACATAACAGTAATTCAATTGATCCGCAGGCATTTGCATAGATCAATTAGAAATGATTTAGAATGTAAAATATTTTGGTTTTTTGTTTTAAAAAGTTTATTATTAGGTTATGAAATCCTATCTTAATATCCAATCTGTATTATGTATATCATTTTGAGTATGATTGTTAAACAATTATTGTTGTGACCACTGTCCTACTAGTTATATGTGATACTAGGAACTATTACAGTTTTGACTAGTAAAAACACTAAGTTCAGTGAATGGATCACATTTCAGCGTACCTATTATCAAGCTGCACAATCGTATATATATATATATATATATATATATATATATATATATATAGCTTGATAATAAGTTCGTTTAAGAAAAACCTTTCGCTAGAATTCGTGTTTTAAATGTTTAAATGGGGATTTTACGATTAAAAAAAAACTAGGATCACAAAAACTAGTGCACATGGAGATTTTATTAACCCTTCAAAACACGTTGTGTTTGACAAAAAATACACCCATTTATAAAAATGTTTTTTTTAATATACGCTTGATAATTAGTTAAAAATATCACATAGAAGGAAAATACCCTGAGACACTGCAAACACATGCTGAATTGCTACGAAGAATAGAAATGTTACACTAAACAAAACTCATATTAAACTAATCCAAGAAATATCGACCTTTACATGACGTCTTATTAGTTACTGGTACGATAGTACATAACATTAAATAGAAATGGTCGACTTAAATGTATGCATTAAATTTGTCAACATTTATTCTTATTCTGGTTTAAGAGTCTATAACTTGTGGATATATTTTCTCAAAAGAAGCACATAATACTTTGATGAACCCGTTAATCTCCATTGATTTAGATGACTAGGATATGTGTTACATATAACAAACCACGGACTACTTTAATGATCTCTGTTGGCTGGATTGAAAGTGGGTTGTATGAAGCTACGGCTTTTTAAACCAACAAGTAGTGCCGATTCATGAAGTCACTAACTATCGGTATGTATTATATTAAGCAGTTGAAGCCCTCGCTATGCTTGTGATTGTTTGGTTGAAATTTAGAAATGACTTGACACTCAAAATCGATTGCGTTAATTCAAATGCTTTAGTTTTGTATGTTCTCCTTGATTTTCAACTTTTAAAATTGCTTCATACTTCTATCTTACAAATTCATTTCTTTGTTTCGAACCAGTATTATCAATATTCACTCATCCTGATACCAGTATTATGCCAATTTCAATACATCTTAATGTTTTAATCTCATCGTACTAATGTAGTGTAACAAATATCAGTATACATATGTGTCAGGTCCTACATTAATTCTAAGTAGCTGATCGACCGAACAACAGCATCATTAGTAATTTAAATTTACTAGACATTTATTTCTTCATTTATTGCACCATGAAAATGAAAGTAGTAAAAAAAACACTTTAGTCATTGATACAGCAACTGACATAATAATATCGCGACTGGAATGAAATTATATGATTCACTAAATTAATCACCTAATAACCCATCATCATCAGTCAGATATAAAAGATATAATTTACATCACAGTCTGATTTTAGGTATACAAGCATTACAGATTAGGAAGTTCTAGACAGTATCATATCGAGTGTGAGGCAGTTACGCATTAGTGACACTGGAAGATGATTGGGGAATATGTTTCCAGTTGATTGAAGTTAAACATGTGGAGGATTAGATACTGGCTTTGTGATCCAAAGATTGTGTACCCGCTTCAACATTTGATGGTCCTTGATTCAACCCCGGGTAGAGTTGTGTTTATCCACACTTACGCTTGAATAAAATAACTTTCCATGCCTTCCTTATTTTCAATAGTTCTCTAGTTAAGATCAGCCTAAGATGTAAACTTTGAAATTCAACAATCTCCTCAAAACGGTAAAGCAGCACCTTTTAAAGGTATGTCATCCGTCCAACTTGCCACAATAAATTATCGATGGTGAAACTAAATCTGGAAAAAAACATGTTTAATAAAGGAGAAGTTTCAAAAACTAATAAGTTACTCTAACCGCATTCATTGTTAGTGTATAAAAAATGCTGAAAATATGGTTTACTGTTTCTTCATGTATAGTTTGTTCAACAAAAAGCGTACACTTAAAGAAATGATAACGATACGATTAATAATGGTGATGAATGATGCATTATGCTTTGAGTGCATTGTGAAATTTGTTTGTTGATGTAGAGTTTAGTATTTGAGGAGTTATGAATCCTTATAATAGATTGTTGTGAAGACTGTTGAACTTAGAGTTTCACACCATGAATTGGCTTTGGCTACACAACTATTGAAAGCAAGAAACCACTAGACAACTGTTTCATCGTAGTTGGAGACTCCTCAACACTGTGCACCTACGACCCGACTAACAGTCAAATGTAAGAACTACGGGTTATGTGTCGCGCGCTTAAGCCTTGGACTAAATAGTTGTCATTTATTGATCTCCATTTATAACTTCAGTCGACTCAGGATATTGCGCAATGATTACATTTGCCTCACACACGGTTGAACTCCATTGGTCATGACTTCTTATTGGAACTCCAGGAATAAATAACCCTAGAAATTAATCATTCGTAAGCACATGATGACTGTTATAATGTTATTATTTCTAACCAAAGTCAACCTGTGATATCGAAATTCAGTTATTTGGATTCATTTTAATGTATTAGTGTCCAGTAATTGGAACTCAGGTTCGGGTCCCATTTCACTTACGTTCTTTTGGGTAGCCAGGTATTATCACTGGCCCTTACTCATACGTAATGTTACTTTAAGTCTGTTCATAAAAATCTGTACTTGGAAAACTAGTTATTCACTGTTAAGATCACGATAGAACTGTAAACTTATAATCGATTACTTTCTATAAACTTCAAGTGATTTACATAATAACCAACAAAATCGTAGAACAGATGAATAATATTGGCTTATTATTTCGGCTTCACTCACAAACAAAACATTCATCTTTTTTCATAGTTGTCCTTACGTATGATTGTTAATATAGTAAACATTCTTTGATGGTAGCTCTTTGACTTCTCACACCTTTACGTAACTTATCACTAGCAAAATGAAAAGGATTACAAGTTAGTTATTTTATAATGTTAGTGACTATTATGGTTGTTATCATAAGTTAACAAGCATGTACATGTTGCAACTTTAAAAGTACATTGAGAAATATTTTCATGTCTGTATTTGGTTCACAACACAATAATACTAACTATTAGGAAGTAAATATCAGATGACTATTACATAGTATACTGTAACCTTGCTGTACTGTCAGAATGTTTATTACTTATCAGAGTTCAATTTAATTCCAACTTTTCAAGCAAAAATTAGTTTTGAAATTGTGAATGTTGCGTTTTAACACATTCACTTATATAATCAAGAATTACAATGGAAATTCGGGTAATAAGAATACCATGGTACTAGTAATATTACTATGTACTTATGTATATGTATATCTTATGTCTATACTTTACAGTCATCTGAAGTAAGTTTATTTTCGACTTTTGATTGTTGTGTTGCAATTTGATATTTGTTTATTTTACATGTTTCGGTATGTTTCGATGTACGATTGAGTTCATTCGTTCATCTATCTATCTATCTATCTATCTATTCATTGTTTGTATGCGCACATCTGTTGTTTTATCATGGTGAATAGGCATGCATTACACTGATTTCTATCATTACTATCAGGTCATTGTATTCTGATGTCTCTCACTGTAAATATCTATATTTACTTGTATAAATATACCTATACTTAGATTTTGTTTCATTAAATGTTAACCACAGGTATTATATGAACTGTTTCTGAATTTGATTTATTCACTAAAGAGCTATAAAACGTTGGTTAGTATGAATATTCCCATTAGCTAATGAAGTTTACATATTATTTATGAATGTCATTATTATCAGAATTCCTAGTAGTAGTAGAATTATCCCGTCCTGTTGAGCTTTACCATAACACATCACGTATTTGGTGTATAAAATGTAACCGCCCCCCCCAATACTCCATCTCCTTTTTGTTAATGACTCGCTATGTCATGGTGATGCATGAATCATCATTTTCCTATTCTTGCACAATTTCATTAATATGACCTCATTTCATTCGCGTACATCTCATATTGTTGGCATATATTTTCAACAAAATCTCACCTTTTATCATATAGAGGTTATTCAAAATTTTTCCCTTACTAATTCATATGTTAGCGTTGGAAGGATTGATTGGATATTAGCTTAGTTTATTTGTTTGAGCAGTACTTGTCCATTGTTAGTCTGGACGTTTCGTCTAAATCTTTTTTCCTTTTTCTTGGACATAAAACACGTCTTTTTTGTCCAGTTTGTTACACTGGATTTCGTTGCATATCATTGTTTTTTGAAAAGTATTATCACTAAGTTTATTATAGTCAACCGATAAATATTTGGATTATTAACCCGTAAATATTTAAAATCCCTCCATAACTCTTAGTGACCATTAAGATTCATGAGTAAATGTTGGGATTTGTCATTTTCATTATTTAGGCAAACTATTATGGATGTCTTAACTCGTTTCTGCTTTTTTGTTGTGTTGTTTCATTATGTCTTTGAAGTTCCTGTCTTCTCCAATTTCAATTAATTTTGTTAAGTGTGTAAAGTGTTTAAAGTCGACGCTGTTTTTTTTATCAACGAAAACAATAGAATAGTCGTAAAGATAAAACTTGAATATTTTGTTTAAAAAATATTGAAAATATTCTTGATTTACTCACTAAATGAACACAGAGTGTATATGATACAACATGCTTTTGTTGGATAACCTCAATAAGAATAAGTAAGTAGATGGGTTTATGTTATAACTTGTGACCGCCGATTAGACAGCAGTGACTTATCGATCGGATCAAAGATGCGTAAACCCGTATGAGCAGCCTTGAGTCCTGATTGACCCTGCTTTCCTGCCTAGCCCAGCCAGTTATGTCCAGAACAAAAGTCTCAGCCTCGGCGATACAAATCATGTATTTCGAACATACTCTGTTTATATATACCAATCAAGCAGACCACATCGTACCATAAAATAGAAAATAACATTTGTACAATATTTGGCCAACAGGAAAATGACACGTGAAATAAATATTGACCAATAGGAAAATGATACCATTTCAAGTCCAAGGATAGCATTAGACTTAAGAGGATAATTTTCGGGATATTTTTCTGAATATCCCAACAGTTTATAACAAAAAGATTTTGTATTCGAATGACAATCATTATTTTTTAACTTTATTTTATGTAATATAATTGTTAGAAATTATCTTCTAACAAACTTCATGAACATGAACCTGTTATCATATATTGACAGTTGCTTTTTGTATAAAATATAATTGAAAAATGAAAATCAGTCGAAAACTAGTTAGAACTGTCGAATCGATTTTTGGGAGATTGGCTAAGTTTATAGGTTATATTTACTACAGATTGTCATTGGAAACCAAATAGCACTAAACAGCTGTTTAGTCCTAGAATGGGACTCCCTAAACGTGGGCAGCCAAGACGCTGCTAGCAATCAGATCAATGTCCTTTATGTCTCGCGGCGAATGTTTTACCACTAAAACTATTCCTGAAGAGTCTCATACAAGGGTGGAACAGCTGTCAATTCCTACCTAGTTTGAATTGGTAGCCAAACTGAGATCAATCTGTGATGACAATAACTTACTAATTAGACATGTGGTCAATAGTAATCACGAATTTTGAATCCTGTATTTGTTCCCAAGTGTTTAGACTGCATTACACTGAATGATTGATTAATCAATATAATTAGATATGTTTCAGGTAAATTCCAATACATAAGTAAATGTTACTTTACAACGATGTTAATACCTTTAAAAGTGCATAATGATATATATTTTATGATGATAGGAATTACTATTTGGTGTTGTAATCACCCGAAATTTCCTCAATAAGGTTTTGAGAAGTTCAGTAAAAGCTGAAAACATCAGACGCTTGAAAAAAGTAAGCATTAAAAATTCAAATATGAAAGAATTAAGAGAATCTAGTAAAAGACTAGAAAGTCATTAACAATTATTGAAGTAATACGCTCATCAGTAACACTGCTTTGTCTATTTTAGTATAGCTCAGTATTGAATAGATGAACTCCATCTTAATAACTGATTTATATAAGATTCTTAATTTAAAATATAACAAAAAAGTATCCTATTAGTGACCTCAACTATTAAATTTAAGTTTCAACTTTTAAACTTAAATATTTATCTGAAGGGGAAGAACAAAAAAGAGACGAAACACTTAACTGATTGACATATGTGTATTCATTATCAAATCTGTACATATTATTCAATATAGCTAATTCTTATTCTTATCTTCATTTTTTTGTTTTGTTACTATCACTTGTATTTAAAATAAAATAAATGACCTCAAGTTGAAAGTTTCTAAGGTTATGATCCATCACTCAATGTTTATCGTCATCATCATCATCATCATTCGCATATAATACATGAAAGTACTGTATAACGTGTAGAATTAAATTGTATGAATATGGGTTGGTATACAAAACAATGTTTTGTTTTACAAATCCTAATATTCATAAATATTGTGTATGTTTAAAGTCAATGGTTTAAATGAAGATAATAATGATGTGTATAGTCTAATGAAACAATTAAAGTAAACACATTTAGTAAATATTTGAATAAACAGTAACATGGATTGTTTCTTACGTAATATATATATATATATATATATATATATATATATATATATGCGTATGAAAAAATAAAATTTCATAAATTATCACGTCATGGTTTATCGCAGACTGAAGATTATGATCTTCCAATTGTTGTATACCTTCTCTGTTAGCCAATGAACAAAAATGCAGACCGCCAAAATCGAGGATTTGTTGCTACAAAACGAATGAGACATAATTATACATTATGTGATGTGTTTTTTTAAGTAGCTTCCAATTTAAACTAAGGCTTATATTTGGCTTTTTTTTACTCCATGTTATATAGTTTTCACTAAAAACCCTTATTTGAGAGATCGATTTAATGTTGAGTATTTTATCAAGTCGAAAAACTCTTATGAACGTTATCTCATCGTTTATATCACAGACTAATTTTACTTAAATACCTATCGAATGCAAAGAAATACTAGGGATTTTCTTTGTTATAATATGAGTCTCCTCGGCAGTGCACCTTCGTAACACTGATGGGGATCGGAAACAGAATCTTTGAGTCACCCAACAATTAATTAACTTTCAAGCCAATGATCCGGCATCCATTACATTTTTAACCTTGATCTATTTGTGATAGTTTGCAATCACCTTCCAATTGTTCACACCCGACATGTTTCAACTTCAACAGTCATGGTTTCTTACTTGGATTTCGAGAATTATCTCTAGAAATTATTTACCGATGAGCATAAGGTTACAATATGTGTGAGGGGTTCACAGATTACTCCTCTGGCTAATCATAGTTAGTCAACAACTGGAAACTAAGAAGCACTAGACAGCCGTTTCGTTTAATTACGAGATTTCTCAGCGGTACACTAGTCACGATCAGTGTATAATAACAACTGTGAAATTCGATAAATCCTACAGATCCGCATTTAGCATTTTCTTATAGTCCCAACAATCTGTATGTAAAAACTTATTAAGAGATTTGTAAAATGATCGAAGGACCGATAACACATTCCTGATCTTTTCAACCATTTTTACAAGACATGAACATCTAATATTGTGAATATATTAATAATGATAATCTTTTACTTCAGAATTTCTTTTGAACAAAAGAAACTGAATAAATATTCAATAAATTATTTTTTGTTGTTGAATAGAATCTACATTGTAACGAATGTGAAATTTCTTTACATCCAATTTACCCCTTATACTATGTCATTGTCATTATATTATTATAGTTTTATTTAAATTAGTATTATTATTTATTTACTTATTTTAACACATAGATATTGGTACAAGGAGGCACCAAATACATATGCGCCACACAGATCTCATTTGATATGTGTGATATTGACCGGGTGCCCAAACCGAAGCAGGTGGTTTCCTTAGGGGGCCACACCCGGAGCCTTCGTCATAATGGTCTGATCCACAAGGCAGTGGAGCAACGTAAGGAGATGCAGTCCGATGGTAGCCAGTGACCAACGACTGGTTCATACGCCATTTGTTCCTTTAGGATACTGGAGCCCATGTGCACTATTGGTTTGGAATCAGGGTTTCCCAACTCCCCTAGGTGGACTCTTCGTATCCACCAACCAGGTTAAAGCGCCAGACATTCGCTTTTAATCCTCTCCATTTCGTAAACAACACCCCCGCCACGAGAAGGCAGTGAGTAGGACTTCCCTGGCAGAGGCGATATACGCGTGGCCATGTGAAAGTATTTCGAAAGGGAGAGCGGACTCTCCCCACTCTCGGGCGTACCAGGGCATTTGGGGGCTATTCATATTATATAATTTTGGTACAGAATGAGAATTGTCGGCACAAAATATTTCGTGACCGGTTCTGACGATAAATATTGTGTGATTACCAGTTAGATATTAGCAGTTCAAAAATCGACCTCTGAATAATGTATATTGTTTTCGATGAATATAACCAGCCATCACGATGTGTCTGATTGTACGTTTTTGTCAATTGTACAGTGAGATGTCGTAAACTGTTCATGAGCGCTCTTGAAATAGGTTGTGCAATCAATAGACATAATGATGTGTTAAAACCAACAGAAGAACAGATAACCCAGATATTCAACCAAGCCACCAATGATACACTAGATTTATTTTTCCATCTATCAAACTTCAACTATCCTCACTTGACTGTCTGGTTATTTAGATGTCTAGAAAGTTCTACAGTTTGATGAGAGCCATGTTCTAGAATATTTCTTATATTGGTATGTACGATAAAAATCGCCTTTTTTGGTTGTTTATTATTCCATTTGTTCTAAGTATAAATTCTCCCAAAATAATCATAATTATAAAATACAGTAAATACATTTAGAATTTTGTCGAATGATTTTGTTCATTGATCGATCGATGAAGTGTTGTAATTTTCCTACAAGTTCAATCATTTTGTGTTTCTACGCCTCAAGGTCACGCGGAATAAAATGTGATTTAACCACATGACTGAAAAGTGGATTGTGTAATTCTATTGGTTAAATTCCATTCATGGTTTTGATTTGGAAACAATATTCAAAGATACAGTTTCTTTCGGTAACTAGTTTTATTCACTTTAAGCAAACACAACTGATTATATAATGTTTTCTTCTTAGTGGAGTTATATGGTTTTAGAAATTCTCGAGTTGAATCAGTGTTTGTAAATAAATGTGGATTGTAGCTTACTGTAAAATTTATATTTGAACATTCTCAGTTGAATATAACTGAAATCCAGGGTTATTGTTCACATTCAGAAGTTGGAACCTAAACATTAAAGCTTTATCTACTAAGTCACGGAGTCTAAATGGCGAGCCATAAACATAGATATCTATCCCTCAAATATTTCAGTCAAACGTCTGCCGATAATCTACAACTGTCAAATCTCTCACTAATCATATGGTCTTGATCTGATATGTTTGATTACCACAACCTATCAAGCCTAGTTATAAAATTTTTTTTAGTGATTAGAGAAGAAATTCATGATAATTTATTGATTCCACTAAAAATTTATCAGCTCACTGGACATATATATGCTTAATGGTAATGCCGATTTCGAACTCTGTCATGTCATTGATTAATACGTATATTGGCTGCTTGTTCAGTGACTATTCATTAATTGATCAGTTAACTCAGCTCTCTCATTGTTTTATGTCAGTAATATATTAATGAGCCTATTTCGAATAAATCAATCATTTGTACAAAGGTCTTCTCCATTTTTGTTTTGAGTAAATATGAATAGTTACTGGTAGTGCACATCACATTATTATATTTAAGTCTTTTCAGATGGATCTAACTATTCAAAGACATATAATTAAAATATTACAGAAGACTGTTTCACAAAATCTGTACAACCAGCATCCTATATTAACAAGTATAACAGATCTGTTAGATTCTACGATTAGTAAAATGGAAATTCAAAATTGTTCTTTTGTAATTAAGCGTACATTTATGTTCATTTTTTAAATGAAGTATTTAGTTTAATTCACCTATATATATATATATACCTTTCTTTAATAGCTAATAGTACTACCCGATGGTCTAAACCAGGTTAGAATTTGCGGTCCTATTAATTGATTGGTTAATCATTAAGCCACACATTACAGAATTTGTTTTCACTTAATTGAATTTTGATAAAAATTTATACAAATAACCTCCTGTGAATATGGACTTCAATTTTACAGGAGTGAAGACAGTTAGTACCAGAAGCTTCAAATCAATGTAGCAGAGATGAATGCACTCATTCACAAATCACTATGGTATTACTCCTTAGTACACATTAGGATAAAATCATATGCTTTTCTGTAATAAAATAGGTAAAGATTGAAAAGAATTGACCTTACTGAACAGTTGTTGTGACCTAGATTTGTGATACATATATGTGTACGAGTGTGAGTGCTTGCAAAACCATGAAAACGTTCCTTTCACAATCACTTATCAATTATTGTACTGATATCGTATATGACATGTTACGAAAGGGATTTCAATGAATTAAATAGAAATGATAAATAAAGAGGTTTAGTGAATATTTTAGTAATTTTAATAATTTAGATCATGGGTCGATTGAAGCTAACGCACCATGAAAAAACCTGGAGGCACCGAACGGCCGTTTCGACCTAGTATATAGCTCCTCAGTAGTGCATCCACACCCCTACCTCTCAAGATTCGAACCCAGGACTTATCAGTCTCGCGCACGAGGAGTTCCATACTAGGACGAAATGACCGTCCAAATGCTCCTAGGGTTTTCATGGTGGTTCAGCTTCAATTGACTCATGAATTCAACTATTAAATGTATAAGTATTAGTACTTTAATGAGACTGAAAATAATTCAGTTATCCTTGTATATTGTTTACTTAGTATTAATAATTGTTCAACTTATTAAGTGTTATGTCATGTTTTTATTTATTTAAATAATCGTTTGTTTACGTAAAAATCATGAAGTCAAGTAACCGAATAACCTTGCTTTTTTGGACGATTACATGACATACAATGAACTTTACATGCTTCATTCATAGATTTGTCTTTGACATCATCATTATCAATGTCATAATCAATTGAAGCATAGTTAAAATGTTGGATTTGGTTTGAGTAGTTATTTTGATGACCTTTATATATACAGATAAATAGACAGATTATTAAAATAGTTTAGTTAGTTAGTAAACTATTATTAAACCATTATTTTATGCTTTCAGTCATATTTGTCTGATTCAGCAATCAAAGGAATGAATGACTAAATTGAGAATGCTATGGAACATTGTAAGCCATTTGTAATCGTTAAGATATCCTGGATCTAGGTTTCGTACAATTTGGCACTCGGAAATAAGGCTTGAAATGACCGATGCTGTCTGTTAAATAGAAATCTGTACCACTTAGCTTTATAAAATGAGACGTTACCATCTGAGATGTGCCGTTCGATTGGTAACAAATAGTTGGACCAGCGTGACATTGATTGTTCCTCTATGATCATTGGATTAATTATAAATATACGAGTTCTTTAGGAGGTCAGGTGCAGCCTGAAATGCTCATTGTCTGAGTCTCAGACTGTGAGACTGGGTGACGTTGGTTTAATTCCCACAGGGATCAACCGTTCTCAAGATTTTAGATATACGTTGCTGATGAGTGCCAATGAACACAAAACCTATGTCATGCGGGGTTTACTGCCGACTGACTATCTTCAACTATCTAATATCTCAACATACTACACGTAATGTTTAGTCCCGTAGACTAGTAACCATTTTGACTGACAGACATGATATTAGTTACTACTCAGCAATCAATTAATGTAATAATCATAACTTGAAATAATAACATTAATTGAAGTTGTGTGTTATGGTCCTAGGATTATATAAACATTTCGTAAATTTTCCTAGTCTAGTGATTTGAAATATCGATTTATAATGTCTTAAAGAGGTTACTGCTCTTGTGACTTTCCGATTGAGAACCATTTTACCATGTGATTCTTTAGATAATTTTTTCTATACATTATTCTACTAGAAAGCAACTCAACACATTAATCCAGGTAATAGGATAAGCAGTAACCTACATTCTTAGGTAGGATTGACAATTATTGCTTTACAAAGCTTAGATTACATACTTCGTGAATGTGATCGTAATCTTTTCCTGACGTTTAACAATTTTCCTCACCCTTTACCACTGATATGTGTAACAGTTTTGACTGATTTATACACGTGCCATATTCTACTTTGCTGATGAGTGAGTAAATAACTGACTGACTTATATAATAGAAGATGAATAGTTATTTTTCCTCTCATCGGCTAATACTCTGTGGATAGTTGGGCTATATTGTAGAAATACTTGAACTCACAAAATGATATACAATACCAATATAGTTATTTTGTAACGACATTAACTACTGTCATTTTATCCTATGTTCGTTTTCTGTTGCATTTACTTTTGTATTCATTTTTACGCGTCGCTTTTTAGTTGAATACTTTAATCATGATTTTTTTTTACCCTGATCAAAACCACCTTCAGTAATACTTTAAAACTTTTCTAAATTTTATTTTATTTATTGCTATCCGCCAAAATCGTGTACTGAATCCATCTTAATGCGCGTTTTTATTTTGAAGATTGGTATGCAGCTTGTTTTGTAGGATAACTGGTCAATGTTAACTAATAATCTTATTTACGATATATATATTCTCCTATCTATATGTATATCGCATCATGTTCTTATTTCTATACTTTTCACATATACATATACATATTATACTGTAATAATATTGTTGTTGAATGGGTCAAATTCATGATTTTTTCAGCTTATAGAAGCAACATCTATTATCGATCACTTCATCCACAACATAGTTATTGATGGTTTGTAAAATAAAAGCGCAACACACTCACGACGTTTTCAAGTCTTTGAATCAACTGTTTGTTTTCTCACATTTCAGAACAACTTGAGAATCGGTATCGTGAATGTCGGTGCTCCAGCTTGCGGTATTAATGCAGTAATAAGAGGATTTACTCGTCTGGGTATCACCAAAGGTTATAAGATTATCGGAATACACGAAGGATTCTCCGGTCTTGTTAAAGGCGATGCTAGTGAAATACAGTGGTCTGATGTACGTGGATGGGTGGGAATAGGTGGTTCCATATTAGGAACACGCAGGTATGTGATCTGTGCTGTGCAGTCATTTGAAACTAGACTTTTGTCGAAGAATTTAAACTACTGTTAATTTATAAGTAGCCGCAAATGGTATCTTCATTTTTGTGATCGGACCGACCTTGTCTTTATTAGTCGCCAGTCAAATGTAGCATATTTTACCTCTCTCATTGAATTCTGTACATACTAAATGAAGTATTATAGCTATAACAACAAGTTTTGAACTTGATACTTTGCCAGTAATATCTAATAAATGGCAGTTCCTAATATCACAGCACCATTTGAAATGATGAGTAATAACTTTCATGTAATTTATATCACCTTATCATCCAACACCTAAATATTTCAACTGTAAAACGTTTAAAAATACTGAAGCCTAAAATAAAAATATTGCAATCTTTTTAACACAGGGAGATTTCTCATTTTTTTTACCTACTGAACTTTATGAATACTGATCATCCATTAGGATAACGCGGTTAAAACATCTTAGACCAGCATTATTGTTGTCGGCAAATCACTTAAAATTTCACTTTCAAGATTAATACTTACTCTTTCACCGTTAGTATGGTTTTACAGACAGCTAGTGCACTTGTATTTTGATTATTAGGGAAGAATTGTTAGAAATATTCGATTCATAATGATAAAGTTTGAGTTGTTTTTTAAAATTGTGTTGTAAATACACCCTTCATCAAAGTACGTCAGTTTCTTGCGGGAAAAAATTTAACATTTGAACCAACCTTGCTTTCAGAACTGTTAGAAGTCAAATAGATTAAAATCCAATCAATGTATGGCTTAAATTATAAAGTTAATTTACCCTTCCGTTACTGTATTCTTGTCTTGTATTTCATGGTTTTCTTTGTACATGCTAATTAAGTTTGCTTTTATTTTTATATTTCATTTATTTCAATTACCTAGAGACACACCAAATAGTTTAGGTATAGAGAAAGTAGCCGCGAGATTTAAAGAATTCAAATTAAGCGGTTTACTTATTATTGGTGGCTTTGAAGCATACGATTGTTTGATAGAACTGGTCGAAGGACGTGAAAAATATCCTGAATTATGTATACCTATGGCTATGGTACCAGCGACAATTTCTAATAATGTTCCTGGTACTGATTTCTCCTTGGGTTGTGATACAGCTTTAAATGAAATAACCTCTGTAAGTTATGTGTATATTTCCAAGTTTTATATTTTGTTTCTGATTAGCATTTTGATATCGCTATTACCTTGAAGGAATCGAAAGAGAATTAAAAAACTAGAGAGTAGTAGTTCCATCCTAGTTTACAGCACCTTAGCGATGTCATAGGAGCGGGCCCAGTTCTTTGTGTTCCCACCGTAAGTATGATACATTTAGATCACAGTACTGTGTTTGAGTTCCAGAGTGAACATCAACTCTGAGATCTAGGCACATCCACTTGACGAGTCCCAAATAAGACGAAACTCGTGTTCTGGATTTCACTGCCAGCCACTATCCATCTTTGCTTACAATGCTTGTGAATTAATGCAATCCGCACAATATTCACATATGTTAATAAGAGACTGATCAACCGCAGTCGTAAACATCAATGGGAAGATTCAAGTAAACAATACCAAGTGAATTTAACGTATAACAGTTTATTTATTTTTAATTTAACGACTTAAGTTCTACAAACTTGAAATGTTTTGTAAATTTTCAATATTTTACTTTCGTTTGAGATATAAGGAGAAAAAAGGGATGTTAGATTTATACATTAAATAATGGAAATGAACTTACTATACAATTAAGCTGAACTAATCACTGATCTATGATAAAAGATTTTTCCGGATGAACTAATGTTGATTTTTAAATATTGAAAACATTAAAAAACTCATCCATTCATTAAAATATTCATTTAATTATATTGTATAATGAAAATCGGTAAATGATAGATGGAATCATCCTTTCAATGAACAATGAAATGTGGGTTGACCATATTATGGACGCTTTTGTTCATATTTTGTTGAGGGAATTCTAAGTCTTTTAACAATATAAAGTAATGTGTAAATAATATTTTTAGTTTTACATCACAGATTGAATTTTGTTCGACAGCTATTGGAAGTCAAGACGCACTGAACAGCTGTTTCGTCCTAATATTGAGTTTTCTTAGTAACACATCTGTAATCTCACCATAGAGTTTGAATTCAAGGGCTCTCAGTGGATGTCTACTCTTCAAACCCCTTAATTAGTATCTAGTGGTTTACATTTCTAATTTGAACCGATTCGCGATGTTTTTTTGGGAGGGGTAGAATGTTGGTCACATTCGCATTTATGACTCCACTAGTGATATAATCTAGGATCTTTATTTCTCTCAGAGAACACTTGGTCATTGTAATCTCTGGGTCAATATCTACTGGTGCAGCTCTGACTTCAATCGCCTTGCAATATATAGCATGACAACCATTTTATGCGATTATCAAAAGCCAATTTACTCCCAATATTCTTGAAGTCTGACAATTACAGCTTCACTCTAGAAATCCAGGAACATCTTGAAATAACTCACAAATGAGCTGACTATTTCAGTTTAGTTGAATGAATTTTATGAAGATTGGTTCAGTTTATAGATTATATTGGTATCAGTGTACGTTATGGGACCTGGAGATCCTGATTCTGACCTGCCATGAAGTTATGAGTACGTCAGTCAGTCAGTCAGTCAGCTACAACGTAGGACCAGGCACATATGTGCATCGGTCCAGGTTGCCATACCTCATTAGCACAGCAAGATGAACAGCGGATTCATAGGAGTGGTTAGGTCAAAGGTTGCAATAAGGATATAGTATAGGAAGGAAGAATTAGTTCGTAGACAGAAAGAATGAAGTGATTTTAGTCTCTTAGTTTAAGGGAAGACAGGGAGTGTATACACCGACGCCACTGTGATCGATTCTGAGCCATGTCACCAAGAGTCTCCAACCATTGGTTACGAAAGTCACGCGGACCCCAACCAAGTAGTCTGCATCTACCAACATGGCTCAGACTAGAAGTTAGTGACTTCAGGCACTGATGCCACGTTTTGGTTTGGCCGCCCCTAACTTTCTTCCAACCATCCCTTACCCCGGTTAGCATTGCACGTCGTGGTAATCGGTGTTCAGGCATACGTAATACGTGGCCCAACCATCTCAGTCGATGAAGATTCATAACCTCACCAACTGATTTACCATCATTCCCTAATACCCTGCGTCTAACCTCACTATTACTTACCCGGTGATCCCAGCAGATGCCAGCAATATTTCTAAGGCATCTGTGGTCAAATACTAGTAACTTACGGGTGTCTTCTACTCTTAAGGGCCATGTTTCGCTGCCGTAAATTAAAACAGAACGAACTGCCGCGCAGTATACTCGTTCTGCTAAGAGGCCCTATACTAGGACGAAACAACTATCCTTGTCATCCGAGTTATTATCGGCACTTCAACTAAGACGAATCTGTGAGAAATATAACTTTAAGAAATCTGTTAGTTAACTAATCATTATCACTAACTATTGGTTACTCTCTTCATTCTCTCTTCTTCCTGTTATCATTGTTATCATTGGTAATCTCTATTTGAACATTCATTTTTCAAGGTTTTAGATAAAATTAAACAAAGTGCATTGGGTACAAAACGTCGTGTATTTGTTGTTGAAACAATGGGTGGTTATTGTGGTTATTTAGCTACAATGAGTGCATTAGCTGGTGGAGCAGATGCTGCTTATATATTTGAAGAACCATTTACAATTGATGATTTACGTGAAGATGTAGTACATCTACGTGCAAAAATTGATGATAATGTTAAACGTGGTTTAATACTACGAGCTGAATATGCTAATAAATATTATACAAGTGAATTTATTCATCAGTTATATGCTCAAGAAGGTCAAGGTATATTTGATTGCCGGTAAGTCATTCATTATTATTATTATTATTATTATTATTATTATTATTGAAATCAAAGTCGATATAATTTTCATAATGATCATCATGAAATGATCTTAGTTAAATAATCATTGAAAACTAGGAAGCATTGTACAACTGTTACATCCCAGTATGTTGCTTTCCACCTGGAAATGAGCCTAAGAGCTTTAGGTTTTGTGGTAATAGCTTAATCTTCAAATTAGTGAATCAATATCAAATAGTTTGCATTCCTAGCCTTAATCAATTCATTGGTTGTCAACCTTAAATCAGTTCATGATATAAACAATCTACACAATACTCAATCGATTAACTTTGCCTATTCGATAGGATTTGATCATCGATTAGATGTTATACATCTGTGTTACAATTCTGGCATAACGTGTATTTCATCCTCAGTTATGTAAACACAGGGGAATAATTTGTGTATCTATTGTTAACTAATCAATCGACTGACTTAATCTGAAGTCAAACTAAGTACAGATTACTCACAATAACTGAACTGCTATCGCAAGACGGAAAAATTGACTGGTAGAGATTTTTCTTTCTCTTGAAATAACTATGAAGAAGGAAAATGTCCTACAAGTAATAATTGTTTACCGTTTTATTGATAATTTGCCGCGTAACCAAGTCAACTGCATAACAACTGCTCCAAATTTAACTGTTCCCTGATTGGTTAGACTCTATTTTAATATATCATTTTGTCGTTGCTACCTAAACAGATTAGTTTTAACAATTTAATTTCTCTTGAGAATAGTAAAAACTCATTTGTCTAGATCCATTTTCTGTTCTCTTACATTGGGAAGTTAAGACAATTAGTTGTCAAGGTCTTATCACTTGAGAGAAAAAAATTATTAGGATATAATGAAAGGAAATTCTTATTTCAGCCTAAAGTACGATACTTTAAATAAATGTGATGATTTTATTAGCGTAGAGATATTTATATAAATTGCACAAGTTTCGTAGCTCTATCCACGAATCGATCTTAGCTTGACCACCATGGAAAATCTAGAAGTAATGGACGGCCGTTTTGTCCCAGTATGAGACTCAGCAGTGAGCACACACCACCCCGAACCTGGCAGTCGAACATAATAGCTTCAACCTTGCGTGGGAACGCTTGAAGTCTAGACTATTGAGTCAACATCTAACGGCGTGAATATCCAACCTCAGTTAATCCACGATATTTCCCCAAGAATAATAACCGTTTGATAAAGTAACTAATGCTAAATCTGCTAATTATTTCTATTTATTACTTCATATTTTCTAGCTGTATAGCGCTATACTACTCTTAGTTACTATTAAGTAGTTCGAGCTATAGTTGACTATTTTGAAAGTTTATTTCAAATGTATTCAAGTAAATATAACCAAAACTTTCAATTCATTTATATTTTTAAAACTTTTCATATATCCAGTTGTAATGTACTGGGTCATATGCAGCAAGGTGATAGACCGAGTCCATTTGATAGAAGTTTAGGTACAAAATTTGCTTCGAAAGCAATTGACTGGTTAGATGAACAAATCAATGCTAATATACGTTCAGATTGTAAGTTACATATTGTTTGTTTATCTTTTTACATTCACATGATTACAAATGTAATTTTAATACCTCCTGCCATTCACATTTTATATTTTTCATGCGGTTGAATTCGTAGGCTATCCAGTTGCTCAATTTCAAAATCGATTTTTTTTATCAACCTTCTGTTTACAAATTAATTATGTGTTAAACTATTGTCCCAGAGCGAATATTAACTCTGGGATACAGGTAAATCCAACTGAGAAACCCAAAATAGGACGAAATGCTTATTCTGGTATTCACTGCTACCCACCATTCATCTCTGTTTATAATGATTGTGACTTAATGTCAATATTAAGGTTTTCTTGACAGGATGGACAATTGACTCAAAGAGACTGATCAGTTATAGCCCTCAGGATTAATGGCAAAATCCAAACAAGCTATACAAGTATGTTTCATTTAGATCATGAATCGACCATTGTTAGACCACCATTGAAAACCTATATAGCCTAATAATTTGAAAAATGTAGAATTTGGGATTTGTTCGAATGCAATTGTGAATAAGTGTCATTGGCATTAACAGAACAAGCAAAAGGTTGTATATATATAGAGATCATATGCAAAAAATTATTCATCAAAAATATACAACTTCACTCTATGGTTGTGAGTAATCTTAATTTTTGACTATTTCGCCTGAACAAGCTTGAATCAGACTGTTGAATGAAACTTTTAAGTTGCTCTTATTTTCAGTCGCTGAGATTTCTGTAAATATATGATTTTATCTTCTACATTTGGCTATACGTCTTATTTGTATTGATATCTAAAAAAATTAATTGATTTTCATTGGGTAAGGATAAACTCCACTCTCGTTTGCAACTTTGACCTTGTACCTGTCAACCAACCAAAATGAAGTGGGAATTATTATTTAAACCATCGTAACCCATTATGAAGGACGTGTTTCGCTTTCTGTCTTTCTCGCTGGCTTACATGAAAAAATGTAAAGTTTTCTACAATGAAAATATCACTCCACCATGCTACGAACGTGTCAAGTGTAGGCTAGTCAGTCATGATCGAGGAAAACTTATAACATGGCTAAAGAAATACCTCCAATTAATTCTATAATAGACATTATTGCAAAATATCTACAACTAAGTGACTAAATAAACGAACAACACATATAAACGAACAAGTGTTTTCAGTTAGATCGTCATCAGGCTTTACTCTAATATAGATGAATATTTATACGAAAATTTTAAACCAATCAAGGCAATATGGGTCAATAATCACAATGAAATAGAATAAGTCACTACACATAATAGGTAAAAGTATAAGTTGATAGTAGTAGGAAGACAGGTGAACTGATAATAGTAAGAATAATAAACTACAATAACAAAACTCTTCTCAATAGTTAAAGGTTGGGAATAGAAGGTCAAACAAACATGGGTAAATAGACTAGGCATAGTAATCACAAAACATTAAAATCATTACGTAATAAGATGTGTGTAAATAATTAGATAGTGAAGAATACGAAGAGGCGGAAAATTACAAACAAATAATGGATGTGGAAATAAGGTTAACGATAACACAAATAGAATAAAATAAATAATGATAATAATAAAATTTTTTAAAAAAATTTTAGTTAAGTTATAACCGGCCATGGAAGGGATAGGGGGGTATGTACGAATTCCAATGGCTTCAGCTATATGTAGGAGACGGGAACGGACTCCGTCGGGAAATGGTGGAGGTATACGATAGATAACTCGAAATGATTTCGATTTATCTACAGCATGACCGCTATGAATGAGATGTGCCAATATAGAACTGCGAACAGATTTTATTTGGCCTTTTATGTACCAAGTTGTTAGATGTTCGTATTCATGTATATTAGAGTAAAGCCTGATGACGATCTAATTGAAAACAATTGTTCGCTTATATGTGTTGTTCTAATTTTCACAATGGGAATCTTTAATATTCTAAATAAACAAAAGTAAAACCTTAATCACTGATGACGTTACACTCAGATATGACTTGACAACGTGGAGTCTATTCCCAGCCTTTTCATTTGCCTTAAATATTAACCTTGAGATTTAACAAGACATTATTGTTATTATAAATCATTCGCCATGGCTAATAAGGCTGAACATTTGAATTAGAGTTTAGTCAGGTTAGTTCCACAGAATTTTTTAAAAGTTGATTTAGATGATAAATGTTTACAAGCTTGAAAAATAGCTAATCAAACTTGACGTGATTTCACAAACAATTATTTTATTTATCGTGACTTTTATGTCCTATGGACTTGTTAATTTATCACGTAACTAAAGCACCACTAGAACACCGATTCTCGTGACCTTCGCATTGTGCCAAACCAATGACGCATAAACCAATACGAGCAGCCTAGAGTCAACCCTGAAGTTCTATTAGTCCTCTGAGATAGTAACTTCTCGCCTAACCCAGACGACTCATTCCAGAACACAATATCAGCTTCCACTGAAAGAATCATGTGTTGTAAACATACGTAGTTTACATACAAGCAAACCAGACCGCATCATACCACAAAATAGAAAATAATTATACAAGATCAGGCCAAAAGTGTCTGTGACTGTGAAAGACTGTAACTAATAAATTGAGAATAGATTAAGAATAGTAAACAGTATAATAGTAGTTTATAAGCTAAATGGAATCTTACAATAAAACAGAATGTGAGTTTGCGTATAATATAGTTACTTAATAATAGTTATATAATAAGAATATACATAATAACAATCCATAAATAGTTCCTGGAAGTTACCTATAATTTAAATTACCTCGGACACGAGAGTGACTGAGTTATTTCAAATATATTTAGGTAATATTCGCTTTCAGTTGTTGAGATAAACTAGGTACAGCTTTGATAGTTCTATACCATAACAACTAACTAGTATCACTAGCCCCCATACTTGTAATGTTTCTTAGAGCTAGGTACACGAATCCGTACTTGATAATAAATCTGTAACATAAAATAATAATCAAGTCAGGTGCAGGCTAATAATGTTCAGACGCAAAATATAACGATACCATCTCATAATATCATTGTTTCATGGTTTAGACTACTGACTTACCTCAGTTAGACAACCAGGAAATATTCAACAGTTGTTTCACCACCACTTTGAGGATCTAACCTAGGATCTCCGATTTCGCGGCTAACCTCAAGACTGATAGTTAATACTGTGCACTCCTGATTATGTGACGTCATCTCCTATTACCTGCTGAGGATAACTGTCTCACATCCGAGATAGTTGATTTTTGATTGTGGTTACTTAAGCAACACGATTATGTATGTGTCACCGAAATGCCAGAAACCGATAGTTGAAAATATCTTATATTTAATATTAACTTTTTATTAGACCCCTGTAATATATGCAATTATCTTGACTTATATTTTTGCTTATTTTTTTTATATTTTTAATTACAGCTACAGTCTATACACCAGGACATTTATGCTGTACACTTATTGGTATTGTACGTCGTCAGACAACCTATTCAAACATTATGGAATTGAGAGAACATACAGATTTCGTGTAAATGTTTTTTGAAAAAAATTATTTTAAAAGATTTAATTATACTAAGATGATAATGATAATGAAGTAGTTCAATTTAAGGTACAGGAAAACATATATAATAAAGAAAAAGTTAATTTAATAGTTGAATTCATGAATCATTTAAAGCTAGACCATCATGAAAAACTTGGAAACAAGACGCGGCTGTTTCGTCCTAGTATGTGACTCCTCAATAGGACAAAATGGCCGTTTAGTGCTACCAGGTTTTCCATGACGGTCTAACTTTATTTAACTCATGAATTCAACTATTAAAGTACTAAAATCTCCACAAAATCCCCCTCCTGATTAAGAGAAAGGTATTGATTTCCTTTTAAATAACCTCATGATCATTATGATGTAACATAAATTAGAAGCGGTTAATGTTTTATAATTAATTGTAATACTAAGTAAATAGTATTCAGTAAGTGAAGAGTTTAAAGAGAATCATCCTTATAGATATATTTCATTAAAGATACAAACCTCAAAGAAATTTATCTCTCTTTTTATTGTATAATCAAATCATCATAAACTACTGATCGATATCATCTGTGTGGAATCACTGAAACCACTAGGAATTATTAAACACAACCTCTTATTTTGTTTTAAGACCTCTGGATTTTGACTCAAAGATTTGCATAATGGTGATGAGTTATGAATTCACTCTGCTGTTAACAGTGCAATAAATGCCAGCGAAACAAACTGTTCAAGCTTCTGAACAGTTATCCTATGCACTGATATTTAATCCACATTATTATCTCTGAACGTTCTTCCTATATTCTTGTGTATGTACGTATGTCTATTTGCATCTGTGATCTAATTGGTTCTGTATTGACTCGCTGTATTCTATACGCAGTCTACTTTTATATATACAATGAATCTTGTTAAGTAGAATGAGTTATTTAGTTTACCAACTTTACGCTACATCAACCCGTTCTTCGCTTAGATGATTGTTTGTTTATAATTCAATGCATGAGTTGAATGTATTCTCACTTACAATCCTTATTTCAGTAACGTGATGTCTCATTGTTACATTAGGGAACTAAATATTAAATACATGAACGATATATTAAAGTAAGACATAGGGATTGTAGAAAGTATTTTTCTACAAACGCAATTCTAAACCATTTCCCTGACTGTTGAGCACAGTCTTAGCTTAGCTAAAATCAGGACAAGTAAGCTATTTGGCTTGATAAACTTTATCTCTTTCTAAAACGTAAACTAATACTGTTATTATGCAGAAAACAATCTATTCAACGCATTAAACAGACACTAAAAACATACTGAACAGTAACCAGAGAATAGGAAAAATGAGACAAAAAACCTAATATCAGTCTAGGGATTTGTGGAGATTATAGTATTTTCATACTTGGTTTCACAATTCAATCTAAGCTAGACCACCATTGAAAATCTGGAAGCACTGAACGGCCGTTTCAGCAGTACACATCCATGATTTAATGCTTTCAAGTTTTCAGTGATAGTCTAACATAGACCAACTCGTGAAATCAGCTGTAAAAAACCTAATATCGTTTATGATAAACGGAAAAATTATGATTGCTGAATAAAACAAGACATAGCCATCCAACGTCAAAGAGAGTTAATGTGATGATGAACACTTAATGTTGTCATTACTGAGTTCGTTTATCGATCACACTTGTATGTCATTATTTCTAGTGATTTTCTCTTCAACTAATATTAATAAATCGCTCATAAAATTCTCCATTTCTATTTTTTACTTTATAGACATCGTTTACCAAAAGAAGAATGGTGGATTAGTTTACGTCCATTAATGCGTATTATGGCTAAACATGATAGTCTTTATGAATCAGAAAGTATTATGGCTGGAACTGATAGAAAATAAATAATCAATATTTTATTTTTTAATTTTTAAAAGAATAATCATAAGAGAAAAGAAAAGAAAAAAATTGGTGAAAAAAATGACACTTTTTTTTTCTTTTGTTTATTTCAACTCAACTCATTCAATATTAGTTTTGACTTACCTTCATTGAATCAGATCTTATTATTGACAATTTCTGTTTGTTTGTTTGTTTGTTTGTTCTCACTGATTGACTCGTTTAACTTACTATCAATAATTCAACCAACCCTAACCATCTTATTCTGCTTTACCTGAGATCAATCACATATGTATTGAAACCCACAGGTTTAGTTAGATTAAACACTAATGTTATTATTATTATTATTATTATTGCTATAAGTCATTTTAACCTTTCCAATACCAAGATGATTACCAACATCGCCTTTATTACTGAAATCTAGTTGTAGAAAATGACAAAGTGACATTTACTTTTCTTTTTCAAGACAAAGAAAAACAACAACAACAACAGCAACAAAGAAAACAATAAAGAAATGAAAATCATTATCAATGTGTTTCTTTCATTTTGTTTTTCCTTTTCTCTTACCTTTTAGTGAGTCCATGTAGTAATAGTATTATAATAGTGCAATATTTAAACGTGAACGAATTATTTTTCTCTCTTTTTTTTCTTGTACAATAGAGAAAATGTATAATGAAAACGTTGATTTCGTTTCAAATTTTCATGTAATAAATCATTTAACCATTTCTGTTTAATATTTTCCTATTAGATGGTAGTTGGAGGTAGTCGACAGGAAACCCTGGACCCGGGTTTCGTGCTGCTTGGCACTCGTCAGCAAAGTGTACCTGTAATCTTAAGGGAACTGGTGCTTCCTGGCGGATTCGGTCCCATATATTGTTTGATATTTAAAAAACAGCGCTTCCCTTGAAGCCCTCTCTCTTCCCTAAATTATCCAGTTTGAAATGTTTTAGTTCTGTCAGAGGATAGTGAGAATTAATTTGACACATAGAGATAGATTATCATATATAAGTCAGAAAAAAACAAAACAAATTTTGTAACTAACGGATCATTAAGTAGTGATCAATGTTATAATAATAATAATTTATATATTCTGAAAATAATAATTACAGAATTCACGCCGGTTTACAGACATGACCATGTTTTGATATAAATAATAACAGATGTGCAGAACAAACATGTGATAAAAGAAAGTTTTAAGTATACTAGTTCAGTAATTGTTTAGGTAGTACATGTATTACAACGATCCAATGCATCAGCCGGGAACCTTTAATTTTTCTTAAGTGGACAGCCTGTTGATTTATGAACGGAGTAATTAAAGTCATTTCGTGTGCCAGATCGAATTAATGATAATTATCTACAACTAGAGAAATTAAAACGAAATCAGAGAGGACGGAACAACAAAGAAGTAATTACCAAAATATATCAATCAGGTCTACCAAAATGCGTGTGTCATGTGACACAGTGATATACTGTTGATGTTATTCAAATTAGTTAAACTTGCTAGGGACGAGGTTACCATAAAGTGACAGCAAGTAAGTGCTTTTACTTAGGGAATGCACTAATAAAACGGCTAAACATTTAAAATTCCTAGAATATCCCTTGTGGAATGAGATACACTTATAGGTGCTAGAGCATTCAATCCATTTTCAGAGGAGCAGTATGTATCGATGCAGCGAACAAATAATGAGAGTGATTTTATCGTACTGATAGATTGTGATAGGTTATTCCAGAGTCTAGAAAATTTACAGGTGAAGTAATTCATATAAAAAGATGATTTAGAAGTTTGTTTCACTAGTGTCAAGGAATTACGGATGTCATAATGAGAAGTTTCTGCATATTGAATCACGTGATTGGATGTAAACGATAGTTTATGAAGTAGTTTGAAGAAAAAAATAAGATTTAGTTTGAGTCTCCTCTTCCATAAAGGGTCTAGCCCAAGTTTATTACATCTAGAATTATAAGTTAAGGTACAATCAGCTCCAAGAATACGAAGTGCAAATCGTCACTGTACTGATTCCAGCCTTAATCTATCCTTTATGCACACACTGCTAAAAATAAACGTGCAATATTCTAGAAGTGGTCGAGCACAAACTTTGTACATTAAAATACGTGACTCATTGTTGTAAAGGTTTCGAGTTATGTAACCTATTAGACGTTGAGACTTAGAGGTCTGTTTTAATATCTGTTCTGTAAACGACAAGTTTTGGGAGTATTTAAGTCCTAAGTCTACTACTGTATGTAACCTAGACAACACTTCAGCATTCATGGTAAGATCTAAGTTGAGTGATGTATCGCCGAAGCATTTTCATTCACATTTAGCCGTATTAAGATACAGTTGCCATTTTAAGCACCACTGTGTTACTTTGTTAAGCTCCATGCTGATGCGATTTCGAATATTTTTCGGCTCATGTGGAGAAAATGAATATACTACTTTAAGATCATCTGCATATAGAAGGGGCTTACCCACACAAAAACTTTCACAAATATCATTGATAAACACTAAAAAGAGCAAAGGGCCTTGTATTACACCACTTTTAACAGGGACAACGTTAGGCAATGAAGAGTTAATTTTAAATATTTGATGTCGATTGCCGAGAAAGGAATCAAACCAAGCTAGCAAAGGAATAGCCTATTTCTTTAATGGTGATCGAATACTGTTTATTTATTATTTAGTTTAACATTACAGAATATCTTCGTAAAATATGAGAACTATACATTCAATACTTTATTTGCAAATCTTCCATCAATTACCCTTCACATTCTGTGTGATTCTTTCAATTCATAATTCATTTCTAGTTCCCGTTTTTTGAACTCGATCTACTTAGACTTCTACTACAAAGGCATTCTAGTTCTGATTGATGTTACATACTACTTATGCCGAAAGACATAAGTAGTCTAAGAGGAAATTCTGTCCGATTTATGTTTCAATAAGGCGTACCTCTGATTTTGAGGGAACTAATTCCCTCTTGTAGGATTCAAACTCACGTCATTCAAACCTAGGTTCATAATTTCCTTCCAATTATTTTCAACCACGTAACATAACGATACATGCATATCATAAATGAAATCAACATTTGAACATCACATAGATTAACTATCTGTAATCGTCAGTGTTTGAATATCAAATTATGGGATATTATTAGATGGTTAATAATGTGTTTTAAAATATTCAAATCTTTTGGGATTGGAATGAACGAATACAATGCAAAATAATATCTGAGAATTTTTCTTATATTTAAGCGAGGCATGACTTTAAGCTTGATAACGAGTCAATTAGAAGTTGTTACCAATGTTTAAACATAATGCAAAGCATATTAGAATGTAGAGACGTTGAACGTCCTCCTATTATCGTCATTCAGGAGTTAAGGTAGTATATATAATTTTAATCGTATAATGTGCATCCATTATTCCAAGACATTCAGGTCATGTGGCGAGCATTTAACTCATAAAATTACTAGGGAGATATCTGGTAGTGTAATTCCAACGTCAATCACTCTTTAATATATATGGTAGCAAACAATCAATCTGATTGATGAATACTACTTTACTCATGACACGTCCGAATTATAATTTCTTCTGTTTACGCTCATCTTTATACATTCGTGCCCCCACCTGCTTTTTTCTTCCTTAAATGATTTATTAATCGTCAGTACAGAGGCTTATAAAGATTATTAAATATTCCTGACATCATTAACCAACCCAAGTTTTATATCCATTGCAAAACCAGAAAACCATCACCAGTGGAGTTCAATTATGTAAGATGTTAACCAGTTATCCCCCGGAAGATAATGGAAGTTGGTTGCGAAACTATCCCGGATAGGTTGAAGTTAGACATGTACATCAGTTGTATAGAGTTAGAAGCTGATTCATCAGACCGAAAAATCTACATTTGATTCCTAGTGTGATTGCGCATGTACATTCTCGAGGAGCCACATACCAGGATTAAACGGCTATTCTGTGCTTCCTAATTTCTATCTGTTGTTCAACTTGGGTTCATTTACATTGAGTAAAATCAAAAGATTAAAACTCTTGTTCAGTTGATCTCATAAAAATGAACAAATGTTCAAATGAACGTGGTTAAAAACACGGAAACACATACACTGGTATTTTTATATTCGTTATTCGAGAATACAATAAACTGATGAAGATGCACCTCAATGAAACAATAATAATCATAATGTGAGGATGTATACAATAGTTTTACTTAACTAGCTGGTCATTTTATCCTTGTAGAAAAGCAGGAAAATAAATTAACATAAACACACGCACTCACAACATTCACATAAAACAAGACAGGAGGTTATTTTAAGGTAGAAATAAAAACCGAAGAAACATACATTTGATTTTTCGGAGAGAAAAAAATGTAATTAAGTAACAGAAAGAACAGACAATGCAATGGAAAAATAACAATATAATCAGTAATTCATTGTTCAATAACACAATAATAAAGACGATCATTATTATGACTGTCACATGTTACTAAGATTAATATTCAATGATGATGACGGTGGCGACAATAATAATAATAATAATAATGGTGAGGAGGAGGTGTAAAACGGTCATAGATAGAGTAAACAGTACTTTAGAATTTAGTAGAGATAGCCTATCGAAATAATAATAATAATAATATTGAGGATGAGGTCGGCGAATATGATAATGGCGGTGACAATAATCAATAATGAACATTCATAGTAAATCTAATTTATATTTAAACATATAGATCAGACTCTATCAATGAATTGAAAAAAAATACTGGAAAAATTCTCAGTACTCAATTCTAACTATTACTATTATTACTGTTAAGGATAATACAGCAGTAGTGCTGTAGTAGTACTAATAGTATTCAATTATAACAGCTAACTAATAAACATGTCACTAGATAACCATTATTATTCAAGCATTATTTATTTGTATATTGCTAACAAACAATTGAAAATAACATAAAGATTGTTGTATGACAGAACAAGAGAAGTAAAGAGAATAACGAATTAAAGTATCCTGTAGCACTGAAGGAAAAACAACAACACACCCATATATCGAAAGATTAGATTAACATTCAATAGAAAATTCTCTACATTCAAATATAAAATCATCGTTTCGGATGAAAACAAACGAAAATCTCGTGTTACATCAAAAGAAAACAAACAAACAAACAAAATAGTAATAGGGAAACTTTGTATGTTTATTGAATTGTAATGATTCTTCTCAGTGTGTGTGTGTATATGTTTTCTCGTTACTGTATATTCTTCGAAAGGTTTCCACCTTGAATTATCTCTTCAAATAACAATAACAATAACTAAAATTCAAATAGCAGTAAAGAGTGTAACCATTTAATCAATTAAAATAGAAACAAAAAAATAATACATAGAAATTAAAATTACATAATTATTTATTATTATGACTTGCATAAAACATTGTATTGTATTGCGAGATGTAGTCAGAAAAAGAAATCAAGCAATATATAGAATATGGTAAGTCGAACATTGAAGGAGTACAACGAAAGAGGAACGGGTGATGGTGTGTGTGTGTGTGCAAGTGTGCAAGTGTACAACACATGTGAAACGAACATCGATGCTGTGTTGTTGTTTTTTTAATGACTAGATAAGGCATAGCGAAGTTTGTGCATATGAGAGAATGTGGAAAATAAAAAGGAAGATAGACAACAATAATGCAATGAATAGCTTTTCTCCCTAATGCCCTCTCATCATTAACCCACATTCTTATTATAAAGAAGAAAACAATTATAAAGTGATAACGAATATAAAACAAAATCTACACGAAAAAAGCATGGCAAATAACAACTACATGAAACCGGATTTTCTCTGCGAGATGTTTCGTTTATTTTGTTGTTACTATTGTTCTGTATTTCTTTTTTCTAAGCACTTTTTCCTATTCAACAGCATTGCCACCATCTTCATTATGTGGAATAGATGCAAGACCATGATGTGCATTTGATGAAGCAACGATTGAAGGTTGTTGTTGTTGATGTTCATTAGAATTATCTTGTCGTTGTCTTGATGATTCCATAACATCCAATTCATTATCACCAATAACATCTTGTTCATTATATGCTTCAAGATTTCGCATTATACTACTATTATTATTATCTATCGGTTGATCTGATGTATAGCCAACATGATGAGCATGTCTTATATCTACATCTGGTGTTTCATTATTCGTCACTTGAATAGAAAGTAAATGATAAAGAGACATAACATATAGACAGCTAGATATAAATTCATTCATATTGAGTGTTTGAATTTTCCGTTAATGTAATGGATTGCAATTGATCTAGGCTTTTTCTAACATATGAGTATCTTCAATCGATTCCCTTGATCTTTCCATCAGTCATAAGCATTTTTTAACCTAAGTTGGATAGTAGTTATCAATGGAATATAAAATACGCCTGGACTTATCAATTGCAGTCCATGACATCAACAGGAAGATTCAGGCAACCATTAAAACTTAAATCAAAATTCACCCTATTGCACAAGCTAGCGGCTATATAGTCTCAGTAGCTAAGTGAATAATGCGTCGTGTGTTTGAACTGAAAGTTACAGGGTTCGAGTTCCGATGTGACCATCAACACTGGTGCAAGCAAATCCAACTGACAAGTCCCAAATAGGATAAGACGCACGTCCTGGATTCCACTGTTAGCAGCCCTCTAGCTCTGTCTAAATGATAGATATGAAGTTTTTATTTTCGCATTTAATACAGATACATTCTTACACAACGTGGGACCAAAATGATGTCAGAAAAGAAGAGAGGTAACATTTTCTAGAAATGAAGGAAAGAAAGAGACGATTAAGTCCTCTCCAAATCCATGATACGGGTGAGGATGTGACAAGTCTACTAACTACCTCCCTCACTCTAAATCCCCTTATAGAACAATACCTTTATAGAAAGCGAAGTCTTACTGACTCCAACCAGAGATGTACTTTACGAAACTTTAAGGATTCAAAGATTAGCTTGAATACTAGTAGTATCTAGTTCAACAATCAATTTATACGTTCTCATCAAATCAAATACAACTAGAAATGATATGTAAAGCATAATTTGAGTACAACTGTCGTTATCAATGACTGTAGATAATCATTAAAGTAAACCGTAGATTGATTGAAGCTGAAATTGTACCATTCAACATCGACTTTGTGGTCCTAATAGTTAAGTATTTGATAAAAGAATTAGATGTCCTGAGCTCAATGTCTAGCTGGGTTGTGTTTACGCAATTTTGAAGAGCTTCATGATACAATGGGGCAGCTGTCTATTACTCCCTAGTTTTCAGAAGTGATCTGACTGAAATGAAACTGTAATGAAAATAACTTACAAATCAAAGCATAACTGTTTATTTGACCGATACAAACACCTACTGAATATTTTTGTTCATTTAACTACAAGTATAATACTTTAAGTTGATAACATAATTTCATTATCGACTACTAAATATCAAATCTTCTGCTAAAAGCTTGCAATTTTGTAGAATACAAGAAGTGATTATTTGATAAATAAAGCTGTTCGACTGAACAACTGAGTGAATTTACAAGCTCCAACACTCTAAAACTTTATTTTTTTCATCACAGTTGAATAGTGATCAGTTGTGGAATCCAGAAGGCTCGTTTCATCCTATTCGTGTCTCATCAGCCAGATCTACTGCATATATTTCACATTTTTAGACAGGCAGCCTAATAGCATCATCAACCAACAAATATGTGTATGAACTGTTACCCGAAGAAAGTGAGTTACAAGAACTTATACTTTGTTACCGAAGTACATCATCATTAGGAAAAAAATAATAACAATTATTTTGAAATAAAAAGACTTACCTTCATGTGACGACTGAATATCGGTTTCACTCATTTTATCAGTTTCGTTTTGTAAAACAATATCTGATAGATCATCTTCTTGATCCCAACGATGTTCACTAGTAGGTTGTGATCTAGTTGAAGTTGTTATATCATTAGTGTTGGTATTATTGGCACTTGTTAACTGTTTTAAACCAGCATCACCGTTATTATCCTCTGATAAACTAGTAATACTATGTTCTTCTTGATGAATTTGTGTAGGTGATAATAAGTCCGCTTCTAAATATACAACAAATAACAATGAAATTTATAACTGTATACTCTGACAAGCGATGCTTACTAGTGGAGAAAGAGGTTGAAAGTAAGCTAGGGGTGAACAAACTAATATGTGACATCAATCCATAAAGTCACTGACTTCCCAGTCGTAGTCTGAATGACAACCATTATCGGCAACTGGAGACTTTAGATGACATATCTCAGAATCGTTCACAATGGTGCAGATAGATTCAATCTTTGTTTTCCTCCATATTTTGAATTACAGTATTTCGTCATACATACTACTCTACTGTCTTTTAAAGTCGTATTCCTAAGGTTTCGTCTTTCTTTTTGTCATCGCCACTACATCATCTCGATCTCTTTTTTATTTTTATGTCTTTATGCTAGTGTAGTATGGCAACTTGGGCAACGCATATCTGTGTTAGGCTCCATGCTGACAATATCAATCAGTACACGAGTTTGAGAAGAATGTTGTATATTATAGTTAATACTGACTGGTCTTAGTTGAACAGTCACTAAAAACAAGGAAGCAGTGGATAGTTGTTTCGTCAAAGAGACCTAGAAGTCTTAGATTTAATCCTTTGTGACGTCGTGCTGGTGCACTGTTGAGGAAATTCATAACAGAACAAATAAGTTATTCTGATTGTATGTGAAATTATTTGTTTTACTACTTCTTAGAGAAAACCAAAACAATATACGAATGTGAAGAATTTCGAGTCACATTAAAATCATGAACCGATCAATGTTGGACCACCATTGAAACCTAGAATAATTGGACGGCCATTTCGTCTTAGTATCAGATTTCTCAGTAGTGTGGACCCACGATCCTGCACGAAAGACCCAAACCGATAACCCTGGATCTCGCACGAGAACGTTCAACCTGTAGAACACTGGGTCGGCAGCCAATAGTATTAGTATCACGTGTTAGGCAGTTACTAGCTGAAGACAATGAAAGATGGTGGCGCATTATCGTCGATTGACTGAATTTAGACATTAACACTGGTGGATGACAACTCAGCGGTCTAGAGGTTGAATGTTGGTACGTGAGGCTGAATTTTCTGGGTTTAATTCTCACGTGCGGAGTCATTGATGCAAGAATAAACAGTCGTTCAGTGCTTCCAAGTTTCAGTGGTGATCTAACTTAGATCGGTTCATGATTTCAAGACCAAAACAATTGAAAAATATAGAGTTCAGTTCAAGGAGTTAACCACTAAAGCATAAGTCTTGAAATTTTGCACCATATAGGTATCAATTGCTCTTTATAACGTTCTGTATGTTCCCAATGAAATGAAACTTATAAAGAATGTTGAATTAGTGTATGACATGATAGCATCTAATATTGGGTTTTGGAAGATATTTACAACACATGTAAATAGACAACATTTAGACGATATAGCTGCTATATATTCATAAATGACTTTCGATCGAACAGTGAGAGGCTATGATCAGTGGAGTTTAACCATGTCAGGTGTGAGACAGCTACCACCTGACAGAATTGATGGGGGGTCGCACAATTTTGAAAATTGACTGGGATTAGAAACGTCATTCATTGGTTGCTGACTCAGTAGGCCAGATGTTAAGTGCTCTCCATGAGATATGAAGGTCATGAGTTTGGTCCCAGGTCAGGTCATCAGTGGGTACTGCCGATCAGTTCAACACCGGAACAAAATAGCTGTCCATTACTTTCAGTTTTCAAATGTTATATGACAAAGATTAGACTATGGTGTTAATCATACAAGATAAAGGAAAGAACCTGATTAAGTTTTATTTTAAACTATATACAAAATGAAGATAGATTGTTATATGAAATAGGCAACATTATTAATCTCACCTCTATGATGACCTGCAATATTTTCCAGCTGTCGTTGACTCTGAAGTGCATCTTCTTCAACTTCACCTTCTAACTTTAATGTGCCTGCAATTTTTGCATCTGTATCATAGATCTCTTGTTGAGAACCTTGTAAAGTAGATGCAATCAATTCAGAACTGCTCATTGATTCACTGTCGCGAATTATATCTGCTTCTTCTTGTACAATTATTTCATCATGTTTCTGTACAACCATTGGATCACCACCTTGTTGACTAGTTGAACAAGCTGGTTCAATTCCTGCTTGATGTTGTTGTTGTTGCCAAAACTCTTCATTGTCTTCTTCTACTTCAGTCTGACCTTGTTGTGAAACAGGAGAAGGTCGTCCCTCTTCTTCTTCATCACCACTACCATGAATAATGACATCGGATTTTCTTGGACTTTGACTATCTAGGCCAAGATGAGTTTGAGGAATCAGCTCTGATTCATCTGGCATCGGAGTAATCCTTACATCTGGATGTTTTAATACATCTATTCTATCAAAGCCAATCATAGACTGATCACCAGCATCATTAGCTGTTATGTCATTCATGCCAGACATTAAAGTTGATGTTGCTGCTAGAGAAGTTGAGAAAGGATCTGACAAATTAGGATTCACAGGATCTGAACGTTTACCTTCATCTATTTGACGCGTAGCCTGAAAAAGTGATTGAAAATAATAAATAAATAAAAATAAACAGCAAATTGTAAATGGAGAAAGACGACTCTCAAAATAAATGGTGAGCATACAACTTGATACACATATATCCATTTCTTGAAGTTTTAACCCTAACGAACACTAAATGATCTTATCAGTGCTAATGTCAGTTCTCTATAAACTCTAATTAAAATCCTTTACATGCTACTTTGGTAACCCTTCAATGGCTAACATTGTCATAGAACCTGCAGATTACTGGGGTCGTTTGCCACCTTAAGGTCAAGAAATACCATTATAACCGGGCATTGGTAGGCATATCTATATTCTAGAATGAAGACCATAGGATAAGTAAATACATTGTGATTTATGAATTTTAATTCATTTTACTTGGAAAAATAAAAATGTCGATATTAAACTATGAGTGTGACAAATTTCCTTATCTTGTACAAAACGTATTTTGAAATAACTCTGTAAACTGGATGACTTTAAATATCAAATTGTTAATTCATGGGATATACTACATAACAAAAAAGTGATGATCCTTGATTTGTTGAGAGTTACGGATATGCTTTGACATGATAAGTATTAATAACTACGAAATATAAGAGGATAGTTGAATTTAAGAAAAACAATATAATTAGGCAAACGTTTCAGTATGATAAATGGAAATAATTGTTTAGTGTTTGTTTGGAACTCATTATCAATTCGCTCCGGTCTACAACGCCATCTGTATTTAAGGGCTCAGGGCGTGGGAGTATAGCAACAAACCCGTTAAACATCAAGTTCTGATGCTATTTATTTGGGGGATGGTAGACATAAGTCATTGAATTTATGTTTTATGCTGATTGACACTCGTAAGTAAAATGTAGGTGCAGCTGTAGTGAACGAAGACTTAGTTGAGATAACCAATTTTTTAATGCAAAATCACACAGTGGTTTAGTAAAATGTGAAAATCATACACTTGCACATCTTCTTCGAATTGTTTCTCATAAACTTTGTTAGCACTTCATTCTTGTTGCTATCTTGATTGCTTTCAGTTTTCTTCTCTTCACAGTATCTTGCAGGAACTGATGATCTTTATAAGATTTGAAGCTGCGCCAAAGATTTTCAGTCTACAATGTCACTGAGCTGCTTGAGCCACAAACTGACCTTCTTCAGGACTTAGACGTCCACAAGTGACTCGTCATTGATCAATGTCAGGTTTGTCTTATCCTTTGGTACTAATCGAATTCCATCGACCTATTATCCTGTTGGTAACCTTATGAATCATACTTTAGATCTCAATAGGTTGATCATTCACATTCTGTGTACTTTGATAACTAACTTTTTTTCACTTCTCACTTTTCAATTGGATTTAACAAGTTAAAATGAAGAAAATCTCTACAAACTATGTAATTCATTAATTACCTAAATTATCTATGATTAAAATGAAATGTGATAATGATTTTAGAAATAAGAAATAATACGAAATGCATAAGTCATATTCACCTTTGCATGTTCATCAGCATCAAGTACATAACGAATATCACGCATACATGATTTAATGACATCTTCACGGCCAATTTGACGAAGTGCATAATCTAATTCATTACCTTTTTTGTGAAATGAAACAATAATAATAATAAATATAATAAGTAACAATGATAATGATGTTATGCATGAATATTAAGTGAACAAGTGGTTCAATAGCTAATTAGTCTAACATCCAGCTACAAAATCACAGGTATAAACCTTGTTTCATCTACTTAAGTTTGAGTTATTGGGTGATATACCTACTAGCTCTTACAATTAAAATGTGACTTGAAGTCAAATAAACGAATCTCCACTTTACGCAAGTTAATAATGACATAGCAATATATATAACTGTAAAACACCTGTGTAATGCAGCCAAGTATAAAGTCATTGAAACAGTTTCTAAAATTTTGAAACTCCAGAGATTGAACTAGATTTATTCATTATACTCTCAAATGTTTTTAATAACTATCTCTGAACATGGAATCCATAAAGAAGTAATTTTATTTCCAGTGGGAAATGTTTTCAAAATGAAACCTTCTTTGTAGAAGATTTCGTTCAACATTACCAATATGGTATGTTCAACGGATCTATTTAATTTAATACAAGTCATTTAAATGTATTATTAGGATAATCAATGAAATTTCATATTGATAATCTTAAAAGAAGTTTTCTGTAGAGAAAGTTAATTACTTGTCAGTGATCTTACACTTGAAAGAACTGGAAGGGATTACCCAGGACAGGGTTGGATGGAGAGTGATGTGGGGTGGTCTATGCTCTTTCATGAGGGATAACAGGCGTAAGTAACATTTTAATTTAATTTAGACGACCTTAAACTTGCAATAAAATCATATTTTATCAACTATATTCGGAACATGATCACAAGAATTGGTTATGACAATATGATTTTATAACTAATGATAATAAATATGAAGTTTGTGATTGTGAGATTTTGGTCAGTCATTTAGTCAGATCAGTGACTTGAAATTATGCTTTTATAAAAAGGTACCTAAAAATACTTTTTTTTCAGAAGTTTTATGAAGAACCAATTTTTAATTTGGAGGTAGAAATTTTTCTCTACTAAGGCTTAACGAATTCCCTTGAAAATCAATAAATGCTAACAAGTACTGGAGTAAACTATCGAAAACTGACTACTCTGAAGGTGTAAATGCATCATATTAGCAATGAGATTTTAAAATTATCAGTTTTGATCCCGTATACAGTTGATAACATTCAATACGACTAAATAGTATTTCAATTAAAGATAATATAAAATAAATCAATACTGTATCCATTTCTCCTTTGATTTGCACAGAAATACTTAATTTGGACGCCGATGTTCATGACACTATCAGTCGTTTCTAATAATATATGAAGGTCTAAATAATTTTTTAAAAAACACTATTTTCTGTGAAAATAGAGAAATTTAGAAAACCTATCAAGCTAACTTCTAATTAAAATAATGTGACAATCTAATGAACTAGGTATAGTAAATTAGATACAATTAGATGGTATAATGAGAAGATGAACTTTGTCAAAGAAATGTTTATCTAAAAGTGACAAACAATTCCATTAATCCATTATTCAATAAGTCTATCTGAACACGACTGTAATGAATCATCATATCTGATTGTATCTATATATGTAGGTATTTAAAATGGTATACACATTTTAATATTCAAATAAGAAAGGAAAGTAAGTGAACACGGAAAGAATTGAAGGAAAAGATTACTGTGATTGTTCAGTGACAATATCATGATCAAATTGAAATGATATATAGAAGCCTGGAAATCGAAATGTAATAAACAATTTCCAAAAAACAATATTAAACTAAGGTGTTTTAATTAAAACTATCAATGAATATACACATATAACTCTAAGTGAAGCTGTCTGGGAGAAACTGCAGGCCTCAAAACTGTGTGAAGGAATAGTATTGGGAGTAAAGCTAGCAACTTTATCTCGTAGAAAACAACTGGATGCAAAAAAATTAGTTAAACTCATCCTTCGGAGGGAGAAGGATCATCGTATAGAGGAGTTATGACGTTTCATAGTGAAAGTTTTGTTGTAGTAAGAAAGTATAATAGAATACGTGAAGCTCACGCTTAATATTTTATTAAACATGATAAATAAGGGATATAATCAAATTCAGAGATTTATGGTTCACAAAATATGTATTTAAATTCTGAGGTTGGTTAGCTTGGAAATAAATAATAAATCTATAAGAACTTTGACATTTTACATTATAAAATGATCTTAGTCAGGAACGATACAAGTCATGAGGGACAAGATCGTTGTTTCGTTCTAGTACTCAGTGCCTTTGCAGTGAGTATCCACGAGCCTATCAAAGATCTAACCCAAAACTCACAAGTTTCACATAGAACATTTAATCTTTAGACTAATGAGTTGGTAACCAATGTTTTACACTTTATCACAGCGCCTAAAGGTCCTTTCAAACATGAAACACACATGAAACAGCTGTTCTAGTGCTCCTTTGTTTTAAATGGTTGTTTAACTATAGTCAGTACATGAAATAAACTATGGGTCCTTTAAAGTTGATAAAGAGGAACTTAGTGTATGCAATTATTATTATTATTATTATTATTATTATTATTATTATTATTATTATTATTATGTATCATACCTGTGGCTGAATCTCCATTTTCTTCACGCCATGCCAATAGTACCGCTAATGCTTGATCTTGTATTGTACGTAATTCATTTACACTAATTGGACCACCAAAACTGCCAACTACATCACCTCCGTCATTTTCTCCTGTTATTTTACCCATTTCCATAGCTAACTGATTTCTTTTAATTTGCCATTTTGGCTCATTTTCATTAATCCAATTAACTAATTGATTCACAGTACATGAACTATTTAAATGAGATTGAGGTAAGAGGAATTCGATTAGTTTAGGCCAATCTGAGCCAATTTCACTAGCAACTTGCAGTAAATCAATTTGACTACGAGCAATTACATCTGATGTATAAGCTAATTGAAAGAGAGAGACAGAAAAAACAAGTTGAGATAAAATACATTTACAGTAGTTGATAAGTAGTACAGGTGTAGGTAGGAAAATACTGTTTGACCCATCATTTTAAGCTAGTTACCACATATCAGTAAAAAGAACCTACAATCTTGAGAGGATTATTGCTCCTTGTCGGATTGAACGCCGTGCTATCAACCAGTTTCACCATATGAGTTAATACCATCAAGGTGTTTAGGCTTCAACTGAAATCCCGCATTCATTCGAGCTTCAAAAACGGCAGCCATCAGACTAATCAAGAGAAGAAAGCAGGAGGACCAAGAAACATTCCAGCAGAGACACTGAAGCCAGAAACAGAAGTAACAACAAGTATGCTTCACGTCCTTTTCAGGAAGATTTGGGAGAAAGAACAAGTGCCGACAGACTGGAAAGAAGGATACCCGATCGAAATATCAAAGAAAGGAGATGTGAACAAATGTGAGAACTGCAGAGGCATCACACTACTATAAGTACCAGAAAAAGTTTTCAACAGAGTGTTGCTGAACCGGAAGAAGGATTCAGAAGACGCCCAGATTCGAGATCAACAGTCTGGCGTCAGACAAGTCTAATGACTCTCGCCTTTTCTCTTTCTTCTGGTGGTCGACTGGATTATGAATACCTCCACATCTGAGAGGAAGCAAGGAATACAATGGACTGTTTGCATGCAACTTGACGATTTGAACTTCGTAAATTGCCTAGCTCTTGTATCCCGTACACAGCAACAAATGCATGCGAAGTCAGCCGGCATAGCAGCAGCCTCTACAGCAGTACGTTTCAACATATATAAGGGAGAAAGCAAGATCATGAAATACAACACAGAGCATCAACACCATCACACTTGATGGAGAAACTCCGAATAAAATGGAAAGTTTTACAGACCTGGGAAGCATCACAGATATACAAGGACGACCTAACGCAGATGCAAAGACATTGAACGGCAAAGCAAAGGCAGCATTCCCACAACTCACGAACATGTGGGACTCGAAACAACTATCACCCAACATCACAGTCAGAATCTTCATTACAAACGTCAAAATAGTTCTACTGTATGGAGCTGAAACTTAGAGAGCTACCACAGCCATCATCAAAAAAGTACAAGTATTTATAAATAATTGTCGACGCAAGATACTCAATGCCCGTTAACCGAACATTATCAGCAATTACCTACTGTGGGAAAAAACAAACTAGTTTTCAGATAAAGAGGAAATTAGGAAAAGACGTTGGAGGTGGTTAGGACATACATTGTAGAAATCATCAAACTGCATCACAAGGCAATCCTAACTAACAATCCTAAAGAGACACACAAAAGAGGAAGATCAAGCAACACATTGTGATAGGAATTGGAGGCAGAAAAGGAAATGACGAGTAGCATTTAGGTAAAACTGGAAAGGAGATCCAAGGATAGAGGTAGTTGGAGAATCCTGATCAGCGGCCTATGCTCCAACGTAGGGTAACAGACGTAAGTAGGTAAGTAATTAATGTACCAGGTTTTGTTTATAATCGACTGACTGACTTAATAAAGAAGCTCAACTTATGACTAGACACATTGAATTTCCTGTTACCACCTCCCCCCCAACTTGAATTCGCTGTGAATGGAAATTTTTAAACTGAAGCATTATTTCGAAGACATTTTTGATTTTGATTAAAAACTAGGCGAAAATCGGATCAGACTGTTGTATAAAATGTTAGACCTATCTAATTTGAATAGTTGACAATTTTACATCTAATTTCTAGCCATCAACTTAATTTTTATGACAATTATGGTACGTTTAAATGTTAAGTAAGTTGTTCATATAAATTGAACTGTAAAATAAATGATCATTCTAATCTAGTCATAATGTGAACAATACCAGTGCGATACAGGTAGATCCATTGGATAAGTCCCAAATTCTATTGTTTACCATATAATAAATATTTTAGTAAAGTGAATAGTTTAAAAAATTACTATAATTGATTTGAGAAAAAAAGAAAAAAAACTCACTTGATGCCAAATTACCACCAATAGGTTTATTAATTTCATTATTTTGTCCATTAAGAATTTGTTCATCATTAATAACACGTTTAGGATATGGGAATACACAACTTAATGAACCCATTGTTAATTCAGCTGCACTAGTTTCATTTAATTGATCTAAAAATTCTGGATGATTTTCTAAACCAATCAATGAAAGATCAAGACCATGTTGACCATTAACACCATTATCTGAACTAAGTCGAATTTCTAATGTACATAATGGTTTTTGAACAGGAGTTATTTCATGATAGATATATTGTGAATCACCATCTCCATCCTATGAATAATGAAGAAGAAAAAAGTTAATTTATTCATTTCTTTTTCTTCTTATTAGATTATTTCGTTCATCTTTTGTTTTGGGAATGATTGGAAAATAATAATTTGATAAAGGGATTCATATGATCCTATTCATTTTCACATATTAATAATATAGCTAAAAGCGGTATACATAGACCTGTACTATCCCATATGTCTTGGTATTTGAACGCTTGGATACCTATTTTCTAAACGCTTTATCGTTCGCCAAAATCTTCTACTTTTCAATTCTTAATAAAAACTAAAGGTGAGAAATATGAAAGGTATTTTACTTTCAAGGTTATTTTATGTATTTATTGGATTATATTTGACACTGAGATTCATAAAAATCTGTAAACAAAGATTAGTAAATAATTTTTCCTATCAGGATAACAAAATGATAATTAGCCGTTATCGAGAATTCACTTAGAAGTTTCTATAGAAAGTTACTAATGAGTTACTAGTGAAAATCAGTGACCAGTGAAGTTCAACCGAGTCTGTTGTGAAAAACAATGGTGAATGTGTCGATCAATCTCGTGGGTTAGTTGAAGTAAGACCTTAACACTGCTGGATGCCGGTTCAGTGGTCTAGAGGTTAGGAGTTCGCGCGCGAAACCGAAAGAACACGGGTTCGAATCTCGCTAGGAGGGATGGTGGATGCACATTGCTGAGGAGTCCCACAATAAGATGAAACGGCCGTCCAGTGCTTCCAGGTGGTCTAGCTTCAATTGACTCATGATCTCAACTATTGAAATTACTATATTATCCACATAAACCCTTTCAGTTACTAATTGGTCATCGTACTTTCAACAATTTTCTTCTGTTTTTGAAGAGCTTTCTAAACATTATCGAAGGCTCCTAACATAATGCAAATGAATCACATTAGTGTAGGCGCGAAAAAAAATGTAAAAACATTATCACAAACGTTTAAGTCACCTACTCTTTAACTATGAAAATATTGCAGTAATTTTCCCTGTTTTAGATCAGTTTGAACCGACTAATAATGAATACTAATAGTGTATGCCTTCATGTTTTGCTATAAACAGAATATATATTTATAAGAATATGGTTATGCATTAATAACTATTTGAGTGTATTATAAGCAGACATGATAGTGGCTAGCAATGGAATCCAAGACATGAGTTTTGTTTTATTCAGGACTCGTCAGATGGACATACCTGCATCCCAGAGTTGATGTTCACTCCGAGACTCTGAACAGTATCGTTCGCTTCAAATGCCAACATTTTACCAGTTAGCTACTGTGCCCAATCTATTACGAGTTAGAGTAAAGCTCATACACTTTGTGCAAGAGAATGGCTATGCGTACTCAGTAGCTAATTAGATGACGCGTTGGTGTTTGAAGCGGACAGGGCGTGTGCTATGACTTTATGTCCGGCTTTTTATCACGTGATTTATCCACCAATCATAATACGACCTATACAGTCTTATCACTGTGCCAAACCAATGACGTTCGACCGGTATGGGCAGCTCAGAGTCCTTATTGGACCTATGTCCGCCTAGCCCGTTCACTTGAGTCCAGAACACCAAATACCAGCTCCCACCATGCGAATCGAATCGAATCATTTATTTCAGGCATACTGGGTTTATATATCAATCAAACAGACCTCAACGCATCATAAAATAGGAAATAACATTTGTACACAATAAAGCCAAAAGTGGCTGTGAACGTGGGAGGCAGTAGTTAATAAACTGATCATAATTTAGGGACAGTAAATCGTATAATAATAAATTATAGGTCAAAATGAAGCTTATAATAAGAGGAATATAAATATACATAATCTAATTATTGAATGATTATACTATAAGAATATTTATAGAATGTTAGTCCATTAATAGTCCTCGGAAGTTATTCGCAATTTAATCTTCACTAGGATATAACAGCGGGGTTCGAGTCTTGGGATGGAACTACACCCAGATGACGAGTTCTAAATATGACGAAGAGTGTGTCGTGGATTCTGCCGCTAACCATATTCCGTCAACTCCACTTATTATCATTATTATCATATCTGGCTATACGAACATCAAAATTCAGTAAATTTTGGGGGTGAAATAATCAATACATGCTAGTTTCATTCATTATTAATGTGCACTGCTTATATGCTTGACTAACCGTAATAATTCGAAGATAAATTATTAACTTGAAATGGATGATATATAATCTAGTTACAGATCACATTGATGAATAACTTTGTGACCTATTCACAATGATTAATGATAGAAATAATTATTAGTAAATTCTAGAAACTTTCTGTTAGATGAACTATATTGATAAAAGTGTGATGTCATTTGAATCATATAGATTGAAGAAAAATTGTTACGATCTATTTCAACGATAATTCATAAATGATTATGAGAACAATATTATTACTGAAAGGTATAATTGCTTTACATAGTTCGATGAATTTTAAGAAGTTCATATCAAAGAAAAAGGATTCGAAGTTTACAAGTTTAAAAAACAATAAGCAACATATTTTTCATTATCAGTATACGGTTGTGGAAATTGTGAAATTTCATTGAGATCCTGAACAAATCAAAATAAATCTAAAGGCACTGGGTGACCGTTTCGTCCTAGTACGGTGGGATTGAACCCAGGAACCGCGATTTCGCATGCGAACGCTTTACTTCTAGACTGCTGAGTCAGTATCTAAAGGTATCATTGTCCAACTTCAATCAATCCACGATTTTGAGCGAAATTCTTCAAAGTTAGCTGACTTAATTTGATTGAGTAGATTATGAGTGGGGATATATAACATAAATCTCATTTTACTTCTATTGACAAAGAATCACAGTTTACACGTTATTCAATCTTCTCAATATTAGAGTACTCTACACTAAATACCAACATTAATCACTTTGTAATTCTATCCCCACACTATCAATACTCTGAGGATATCTATCATCAATCTCTGGCAATCTATGCATAGCATTTATCATTACTGACATTCGTAAAGTAATACATAGTAAACTACTATGCAGTATGCTCGTTATCTGATCAATGAACAAACAACACACCGGCACCATGAACATCAGATAGGTCTGTTAAGCTAATCATCCATAACAGACAAAACAAAGCGAGTAACCTAACATTATCACTAAAACTGTTACACAAATACACGATCCTAAATTTTAGCTGTAACGACATATTTTAATAGTTGGACAACAATATAAATAAAACACGTGTCATATCTATTACTTCCTAAAAATATGAAATTTGAATACAACACAGTCAATAAAAACGTGTCCCATGTTCAGATAACATGAAAGTCTTGTGAAACAGATATCATATAGACTGGCTTTCTATTGAACCATAAATAACTGTTTAGAAAATGTAAAAATAATGTAAAATTTATATTGAGAATAAGTTTGTTTTTACGTTAATTAACTGATTGTATAACCACTATTAGTGAACATCCTCTTTATGTTATTAGTGACGTTTAAGTATAAACTATAAAGAATATTGTACATACATCGCTGAATAATCTTGAACAGCTGAGTGACAATTTATTCATTCAAAGTTACATTCTGCATCTTTGTCATAGCCACAAATAGTTTAATGGGGAAATTCATTTCTACCGACAAAATCTTAGGATTATCAAATTGGCTGAAGAGTTATGTAGATGAATTTACCAGAACTATTGTTTTCTCAATATATGATGAATTGATAAGTAAGTACCGTTGCATATTTTAACATTCCTGCTTCACCAGATCACCTAGTTGACAAATCTTCTGGCTTAATGCTTAAATCAGTTTTCTAAGATCTAATAACCCAAAGCTGAACAAACACGACAACTTTGACGAGAGAGAAAAGGCACTAGATGTGGAAAGAACGCATTAATCCAAGGTTCGTTTATGTACAGAAAATCAAGGGTATTTACGGCATTTCAGATAGCTTCGGGCTACTGGAAAGTTCTGGAACATAACTTAACATTCTAGCAAAATAGATAATCATACAGTCAGAAATGTGGCACGTGAATCTTCACTTTTTAGATGTTTCTGAGAAACTTTCATTCAATGCTAATTGGATCAAATGTTTTACAGCGTTTCCAGAGCCCCTTTAGACCATTTTTGAGGGATACTCTGGATATCCTCAACGCTAGTACTTAGTAATCTTCACAAATTTCTCTAAAATACTAATCATGTGGTCATTAGTGATTAGGTTTCAGATGCATCTTATGGATTTCTAGTGAGATGTGATCAGTGGAGTTCAGCTCTTTCGAGTTTGAGACAGTTATTCACCACAGGCAATAGATGATGGTTGCGCAATACTGCAAATTAATTAAAATTAGACATTATCGTCGTTAAATCCTGACTCAGTGGTCTAGATGTTAACCGTTTTCATACATGATCAAAGGTCTTCGTTTCGACCACCAGATACAGGGTCGTGTATAGGCAACGCAGAGAAGTACTAAAATGAGACGGCTTTTCAATGCTTACAGAGTTTTCACAAGGGTTCAACCAAAACCAGTTAGTGATTTAAACAATCAAAATTCGACCATTTCCACGAATACCCCTTATATTCAAGTAAACTGAAAAAAACTGACTGGTTCACATATTACACTAAATCTTTGGATGAAAACGAAGATAATCAATTCACCTGACAATACCATTTCTCTTAAAATCATGCCGAAAAGAATTTTCTTTCAAAATTTTAAACGTTCTCAGTACTATGCAAATATATATTTCCATAGTGGATTTCATCAGATGAATGATAAAATTCATTCATTACTTTTTTAATTTTTACGCAAGACTGAAAATTCATTTACTTCATTCCAAATAGTTCGTCCTAGTATTTCAAGATACTCAATATCCGTTAGCCGGATACCATCAACAACAGCCTACTGTGAAAGAGAACAAACCAGCTCCCAGATGAAGAGGAAATTAGGAATAGACGATTGTGGTGGATAGGACATACATTGTGAAAATCATTAAATCGCATCACGAGGCAAGAGCAAACTTAGGATCTTAAAGTGAAGCGAAAAAGAAGAATATCAAGGAACACATTGCGTCGCAAACAGTAGGCAGACATCAAAAGGATGAATAACAATTGGAAAGGATTGCATAGGACAGAGTACAATGGAGAACGCTAGTGAGCGGCCTATGCACCTCTACGAAGGGCAACAGGCGTAAGTAAGCAAGTAAGTAAGTATTATACTTCTATCTAAATATTTACTATAAAGAATGGTTTTCGAGTACAAAGTACAACTTACCTATTTGTATTTAATATATAAAATGTAATTTTAAGGAACAAAATGTTTTTCCTTAGCCTTGAATAATTTATTAACAACAATAACAAATAAATAAATAAAATAAACTTACTCGAATTGGTTGTCGTGGTTCACGCATAAATGCTAATTTACTAATAGCTTCTTGTTGAAGATCTTTTACACGTACTGGAAATGCAAGTCTATTCTCATGGAATGCATTGAAATGTAAACGTAATTGTTCACTTAATTTTGCTACAGGTAATAAATTACCAGCTGTTTCCAGCCAAACTGGTCGACTTTCAATTATTTCAACTTCTGGTGAAGCAGCACACAATTCAAAACCTTCTTGACACTCCAATGTCTTCATAGAAATAAGAAAACAAAATAGAAAAGAATTTTTAAACGACACTATTTCCCTAACATCGAAATCCAAAACATAAAATCAGCAATTTATTGACTATTGATATAATGATGATGATCGTCATAGAATATTGTGATTAGTCAATTAGTTATAAACAACACAGAATCCGGCAGTACATATTTACATTGGTTTAAGTTCCTACATTGTATTAACACAGTAAGATGAAATTATCAAGATAAATCACACAGTATTAGAAGTTGTAACAATTTTAGTGATAGCATAGACGATAAGATTTTAAAAGAAACAGTAGATTCAAACCATAAAAGTACAATATAATTTTAGAATTCAAAACCTAAATGAAATTAAAAAGTGCTTTTACATGCACCCAATTTCGACTGACAAAAGTTTAAAAACTACTAAAAGTCATTTCAGTAGTCTAATGTGATTGATCTGTTTGTTCTGCGTTACCTGGATGTCACAGGCCCACTTTCTGTTAAAATTATAAATGATCACCCTTGAAGAGTAGTGAACTAGAACAAAATAATAGCGCATTACTCCTTGGATATTTAAAAGAGACTTTTTTCAGCCAATTTCAAACCATAATTCAAACTAAATTCATCATATTAGATGTTGCTTATTCAGGTTTTAAATTAATATTTAACATAAACGCAAGAGTAATAATAAAATCCAATCAGTTATCATTAATGTTATCACTAAAACCTTCATGTTGTCCTAATTTATATGTCATATTTATCCACTCTGATCACATTCTATAGATTCAGTTTCAATTTAGCTACTAATCTGAGTAACAGGACACCGAGTGCATTATGTTTCTTTGATGTTGGGTGGTTGGAGGCAAGAAACCCTTGACCTAGCTCCTTTGCTTGTTGTTACTTTTCAGCATAACTTACCAACAATTTTGAAGGAAATGATGTGCTCTGTGTTATTTGATAACAAATATTCAGAATCTCAGCTACTGCTGAGTGATCAGTTAGTTGTAAATATATTGCTTCTACAGAAGGTCAGTCGTGGCTCAAATATCCCAATAGTAACATTGCATCATTTTAAACTGATTGAATTACACAGAAGACACCAGTCATCTAATGTTTGCAGTTACACTTTGCTGACAAGTACCAACTTGCATAAAACTTACATTCAAGGTTTATTGATGATTATCTCTTACCATATAACATTTAAGTATATCCATAACTATAAAATGACTGAAGTCTAAACTATACTTCATTCAGACGACTAACATTAAATAATTCCAAAGATTATAAACTTTAATTTCATAAAGGTTTTTCCGTGTACACTGACGTGGACAGCATTCCAAATTGAAATAAAACAACTGTCCATTATCATAGTCATTAATTCGACATTATCACGCAATGCAATATAAACAATTTTCGATAAATTCATCTTAAATAATTCATAGAATCAATTAACTGACAGATTACATATATAAACAATTTATAATATAATCCCTTACTACGTTTAACTCATTTCATATAATATGTGAATCAAAATAATGGTAAGTTTACATTTGAATAAAGGTAACGTCACCATTATTTCGTTTTTCAAGAATTACCGAGTTAACAAATATGTGTGTGAAATGTTGTGATTTTTAGGAAACAATAAAAACTTAATAGTCGTACATAATAGTAATAGTAGTAGTGTGATGTGTGTTACTGATGTCAACAGATATAAGTAGTATGTATCACTGATCGAAAGTAGGATGTCTGGCGAAGAGAAGAGAACGAAAAAAGAGAGTAATTGGTATGAAGATGAAGGATAGTTGAATGGTTTGACGACTAAATAATAAGTTCAATAATTAATCTTATAATATATAAATGATTAAATGATTATTTTTATTACTTTCATGATTAACGAATACTGACTATCAAAAGGTACCAGTTCGAATAAACTTCCTAACTGCCATCCTTATCCCCTAAAAAGAATTTTAAAATATCGTTAGACTATTGCTTATAAGATCGATAGATTCCTCAAGAACAAATATTAGTCTACTAGTAATGTTGGACAGTTCCTAGCATTGGAATCCAGGATCCATGCTGTATCCTGTTTCTGAACTCGTCAGCTGTCTGTACCTACATCTAAATAGAACAAAATGCTCTTGTAGATTCTACCGATAGCCATCAAAAGAACTTGAGTAAAAACCTGTAATTAAAACACAATATTGAGTAGATTAGCTCAGAAAGCATATATACTGATCAATGGCTGGTCAATTGCAGTCTTTCGTTACTGTTTACATGTTATGTGATTGGTAGATGAATCTAGAAACAAAAACAGTGAGACGTGAGTAATCTCTATCCAACAAGTCTTAAATAGGATGAAATTTGAGTCATGGAAGTTACTATTAGTTCCACATCAGATAAGTTTATAACTCCAGAACGAAAATGATTTTGTATTGTAAAAAGGCGATCAAATAAGTCTTCTAAACAAAATTGTAAAAGTTTGTTTTATTAAATGTGGAAGATTGTGGAGACTGTTTGATTAGTGTGTGTGACAGTGTGCATCCACGACATAAGTTAGTGAATCAACTACGGACTTTCGGGTCTTAAGGGAAACACTTAACCAATAGACCGCTGATTTGGGACTTACCGGTTTATATTTTAGACTTCAGTCTATTAGCGATTTATAATACCATTTAAAAATGTATAGTTTACTAACCTTGTCTACTTTATCATCTGTGACACAGAAACATCGAACTAATGCTTCATCCATATCCAAACGTTTGGTAAATACAACAAATTTACCCATATATGGAACTAATGTGGCTTCGGCATACAGCATACTTGCAAATTCTGCAGCTTCATGTACAGCTGAACAATCCATTAGCCAAAATCTGAAATCAAGACAACGAAATCATTTAAGTCAGTCATTCGTTGAGTCGGTCACAACGTTGAGCCCGTGTGTAGGTATATCGGTTCAAGTTGCAATACCACATTAGCACACTGAGATGAGATTATCGCGTCAAATTCCAGAATAGTACAGGTAGTAACAGTATCAGTGGTAATAAGAAAGATTAAGAATTGAAGACACGTATCGAAAACAAATGTAAATTGGTGAAATAAAAACAAGAAAATTTATGAGGATCTTAGAATCTCATGATTTACGAAAAAACAAAGAATGGACGCACATGCGCCATCGCAAACAATGTTGAATCATGTCATTCTAAGTCTCTAACCATTGGTTACGATAATCACAAGAAACCCAACAAGGTAATCTGTACCTACTAAGATGGCTAAGTCCATTTATATGATTACCCATTTGTTCATCAATAAACAATATTATTACCTGTCAAAATGGGGTTGTGCGAACTTCTGAATTCCATGAACCGATCAACATTAGATCACCGTTGAGAACTTGGAAGCACTGGACGACCACTTGTTCTAATGCAGAATTCCTCAACGCACAACCCCATTCCAACAACTACAATATTTTCCACAGTGATTATCTTCAAGAGCAAATTTCCGGATTTATAGATGAAAGTCGTGACTCGCAGAGTTCAACCGTGCCGTGTGTAAGGTAGATACTGAGTAAAGACACTGGAAAATAGTAGCACAATATCGTGGGTCTATTGAAACTGGACAATAATATCATTAAATTATGACTAGGTGGTCTAGACGGAGGTCCCTGGGTTCGATTCTCGCGTGCAGGATTGTGGATGCGCACTGCTAGCGAGTCCCATGATAGGACGAAACGGCCGTCCAGTACTTTTAGGTTCTCAATGGTGGTATAGCTTAGATCGACTAGTGAATTCTCAACTGCTTGATTTAGTTAATCTCAGCGAATCGGGGTCAAATTTTTAGTTTTAATGTAAAAATTGGATTTCATTTTAAATCAAGATCAGTTGAATACCCATCTAGTTCTTTCTGAATAGTATAGAAAATACACGAATATAAAGATTTGAGTAACAGTGTAAATATCTTAACTGTGATTAGCGTAAATCATGCTGAATACTTAGAAACCGAAAGAAAAGTAGCTCCTGTATTTCAATGTATAACACTATCAAAAGTATAGTGAAAAGTTTGACTTTTTTTACATAGAACATAGGAATTTAATGCAGCATGATTATTATCATACGGCCTTCGAAATTTGATAGATCTGGGATTTTAATCATTTCATATTTTTAACAATTATTTTAGAGCTAAAAACAATACAATGTAATATCAAACTTTCACTGAATATCTTTTTCCAGTACAATGAGAAATATTTTTTTCAAAAGTCAATGAGAACCACGTCAATGACTATCTGTTAATAATTTAAATAAGTATACAAATAAAAATTAAAAACTAACCACTATTTATCCTACCTCGCTGAAACTGTTGTCGTGAAGGAGATACAATCTTTCACTTTAGACAATGGTGTAGATCCAGTAATATCTTCCCATTGTGCTGGCGCTGTACCACCGGTAATACTGCACAACAATCGTAAACTCGGTACATTTTGTGATTTTAAATCATTCACCGATGGATTCAGCATACCACGAACAACAGCTTTCGGTAATGGTATAGTTAAGGTGATTGGTTTATGAAATTTACGACGACGTGGTTCTAATGTGACAATTGGCGAGACTGTAACACGATTACCAAATAATCGTGTAACTAACTCTGGAGCGATTGGCTGAGCCTAAAATTTAAAAAATATTCAACACAAAAAAATGATTAATTGTAGTTAGATGTTTTCACACAGACTTCTTTATAGTATAGGCGATAATTAATAAGGGCCTATCAATCAAGTCACTTCCACTTATGGAATAGTTACGCTCATATTATAATTCTTTAATTGTGTTGATGTATAGTCAGGATTGTACCCATTATAACTGTGTGGGTGATTCATAAATTTGAACTGCTTGATAAGAACTTATTTGCTAAATGTGATCTGTTCTATTCTGGTTACTGGGCGAGCGAACTTGGGAAGCCGCATTCTGGACCAGTAGTTATCAACTGTTATTTTCGGCTTTCTCAGTATTATCGTAGTAATGATTAGTCGAAGGTCATTGGTACTAGATAGATAGTTTACGGAGACTAATCAATGCTCAGACTAGATCAATACAAATTCGCTACTGTCTTACAGTTCTATCACATGGGCCTCAAATAAACTACACAAAACAACTATTTGTGTATACCGTTACGTTAATAATTGTCCCAGAATTTTTTAGAAAGTAATATAATAATGCCACTTCCTAAGGATTAATTTACTATTTTGATGTGTTCTCTTAACGCATGTAAGCACTCTAACCTCTAAGATAAAACTATTTGACTAGTTTGATGAAACACTAAAATCGAATAACCCGTTGAGAGAGATGGTAGAATATATATAATTTACTTACAGAACTGTATCTGGATTTCAAACAAACTGTTATTTAAAGAAAAAGCCAACCAACTGTCTGGTTAATTGATAAGGAAATAAAACTCATTTATATTACAAAGCTAGAAAATCGTTGAAAACAAGAGGAACTGAACAAATATTCCATCTTAGAGAATACATAATACATGTCTCGAAGACAGAAAATGTACTTTCATCAACAAAAAGCATTAACTAATGTATTGCAAAACTGACTGCGTGATGATCATACTACCTACTCTACGCTACGCTAGAAAATGATCTTCATTATAATATGATGACAGTCCATGTTATATAATATGATTTCAAAAGCTCCAAGCAGATGTTTAAAAACCTCAAAAAATGCCTAGAAATGATAATGCCTTGGATCAATAGGTGTCGAATACTCACTGTTTGGATTGACATCTTTAAGATTTAGTATACACTTAAATAAACAGTAGCGTGATACCGATAATCCTCAGTTGATTATGTCTGCAAATCAAACACTCCATATAATAGCAATTTTCTTAAAAACCAACAGGGTAGTCTAAAAAATAGACGTACTTGTAAACCGACACGAATTCTTTTCTGTAGTGCACCTTCTGGGAATACAGCTTGAACTTGTGGAACAACTGTCGAACTAAGAACACCACCATCTGAACCAACTAAAGATGATTCTTGGCGTATTCTACTAACAACTGCCATATATTGTGGAAAATCATTAGTCAATATACGAATAATACGTTTCGCACGAAGTTCTTCCAGCGTCTCTAACGTATCTGTTTAAATCAAATTCATAACCAAAATGATGCGGATACGAAAACATTATGTCATGATAAATATTATTATAACAAAACAGTAAAACAAAAGAATAGGTTCCAGTAAACTAAAACATAATTTTGTGATAATACTTCTGAATTAGATGATTTCAACTACTCATTCCTTCCAGTTCCCTTCAACTACTAAACACCAAAAATTCGTCACGCTTACATGAAATCACTGTGCCCAGAAGCTGCGTCGCGAACTGATCTGTAGAACTTGATTAACACAAAATGCGAAACAAATTAAGCAGTTGATGCTGATCAGTAACCAATCAATGTGAATATTTCAGTCGTACAGGTTAATTCAAAATCGTAACTGGTATCGTGACATTGTGGTCAGGCTTCCATATACTGGTGATTCAATCATGCCTTCAAGACCATTCCTAATCTAGTCTCTTTTCCAGAGATGCCACAAAGAGGCATCGTTCTATAGTCTAATCAAATGGGAAGTGAAATTCCCCTTCCAAATAATAAAGGCATACGAGATCACTACATTCACAATCAAATCACATAATAGTTTATTATGACATACAGATTAGCTGCAACCCAAATAGCACCGACTGTAACGCTGAATGACAGAAAAGATCAAATCACACAGAGAGCACTAGTTTTCTCAATACTACAGATACACCTTGTTAATTAGAAACAACTAATAAGAGACTAATTCTAAATAATACGTAATCTTGAACAGCAACTTAGAAAAAGAAATCAGCTACTCTTTAAAATTTATATTATAGCCAAGTATTTAGCACTAAATGCAATGTATACTGAAAGAAATCACTCTTTGCTGGTGTACTTTTATGGAATGAAGTTGAGCCAATTTAAGTCCTGATCTTTTCTATTGACATGTCTGTTCATGTGTGATATTAATCCACAACTTGAAAGATATGTTGCCACTTTGACTTATGGATTATGATCCGAAATAAGAAAATAAAAACTGACTTTACTAATTATCATTAGTTTTGTTTATTAGAAAGTACTATCTATCTATCTAGTAAAATGTACACCTTCATATTCTGAATACTTACCGAAACTTTGACCTACAGCTGACTGAACTGCTTGATCTGTAGCTTCTAGTGAATGTTCACGCCATATTTCAGCATTATCACTACGTAATACAACGAGTTCACGTTGACGACCACGTAATGAAGCAAAATGTGGAATTTCTAACACCACTGGTGAATTGAAACGACATGGATGCGGTCCTAACTCAATGATACTATATGGGATATACAAAAATTAAGGAAATATAAGTTAAACCAATTTAAGAAAAAAAAGACAGATTTCCTCGACAGTAAACTTTGAAAAGAAATAATTAAGCTGAATTATTTGTTGAGATCAATTATCTAAGTTAGACAATCATTGAAAACCTGGAAGCACTAGACTGTCATTTCTTGATAGTGTGAAACTATTCAGCAGTGCGCTGCAGCAACCATGAAACCGGGTATCAAACCTATGACCTGCGGCCTTGAGCGTGAACGCTTGATCTTCAGACCACTGAGCCGACATCCAATGGTGTACATGTCAACCTGCGATTTACCGCGAGCATCTTCCATTGTCTTCAATGGGTAGCTTCTACAAAGCCGACGAGGTCTAGATCCACCGTTCACGGCGATGGAAGATGTTCACGCAATATCGTGGATTGTTTGACCTTAAACTTATGTACCATTAAATCCTAGCTCAGTTTTCCAAAGGTTAAGTTTTCGCTTATGAATCCGAAAAAGGTCATGGGTTTGATTCACGGATTACGGGGTCGAGGTTACTGAGAAACCCGTACCAGAATTGAATAGTTCTGCTCTTCTTGACGTTTAGTGGTAATCTGAGGGTCAGTTCGTGATATAAACTACCAACGTTTGACACTGACTAAAACAAAACTACTCGAGTGGTACTATAAAGCTTAACAAATTAAATTTGCTGATTATTTAAATGCTCATATCTGTCATTAGAATAAACAGTCTATAGAAATAGTAGAATTTTAAAAATTAAAATTTACCGACAAGCTAAGCCTTCACAATCATTCAATTGAGGTGGTCGAGCTGTACGTTCAGGTCGTAACATACGGCAGGTAATACGTGTTGGTGCACTTGCTGCACTTGGTGGGACTAAAATTCGTAGACCTGGATGACGACTACCACGCATCGATCCACCACGTGCATCCACCAAAAATGATACAAGAAAGCTACATGAAGCAATGAAAAGAAATTTGAATACTAAAAACTATATAATGACGATATATATTAGTTTATTACAAATCAAACAAAGTTAAATCATTATTCGTTAACCGTTGAATCATCCTGTTGTTAATATTAAGGACTAAATTTTGTTTGTTTTTTGTTAGTATTTGTATGTTCTGAGTATATTGTCTAGATTTAGAAATTTTGTTATATTTTTTCTTAATTAGATGGATTGTAGCTAGCAAAAGGGACGCTGGATGGGAGTTTTACATTATTTTGAACTCATCAGACAGATATAAATGCATCGCAGTACTGATGTTATTCAGACATTTATTTTGTGGTTCGGATATACTACATATTGAAGGTTTAGACTGTGTATAACGCATGAGATTGATTTCGGATTAAAGGATATAATAAAAGGAATGTATTCAACTGTCAATCTGATATCTCTGTAATAAAAGAACTGATCATTTAGACAGTCATATGTTTAAAAATTTCCACCTTATGTTATCTCGAATCGTTTGTACCAGTTTACATGTACGTGCTAACGCACACATATTGAAAGAACAGAAAGGAAAGTTAGTGTCTTCATTACTGAACAAACGTCACAGAAGCCTAGATTAAAAGGATAACACGTTTCCACGAGATCAACTGTACACTATTCGCTTGACAGTAGTTATAGTTTTTTACATCTTAAATTCTTTCAAGACAATTAATATACAAAAAGGGTTTAATTTACTGTGTTTCTCTAAAATGATTTTCATAAAAAGACTTAAACCAAATTTATTTATTCAAAAAGAGTCAGTTATCAATCCTGCCATGGTAACCTCATTCATAAATGGTTACTACATAATTTTTTTTTATTCTATGATACTAATTATTAATTCCTACTTATCATTGGATGTGTACTGTTATTCAATATTATTTTAACAACTACATACCTACAATATTAATATTTCGTTTCTAATTCATTCTATTCCTATACTCTTAGTTTTTACTCTAAAATATTCATATAATCAACCTATAAATATTTACATTATAATTAACATATGAACATCTCTTTTACTTCTGCCATACTTATTACTCTTTTCATGAATCTGTATCGATGGAAACTTTTCCATTATAATGAAACTATGATATAAATTATGTACAGTGATCTTTGATGATTAATGTTATTATGTTTAAACTGTATGAAACAGATGAGAAATTGTGAAACAAAAAATTGAATTCAGGTTATTCTACTAGGTTTGGTGTTTATATGCTTTAGTTAAATAGAAACAAATCTGTTTGCTCAAAACAATTGTTTGATGATAAAAAGTTCCTATTACAGATCCATTAACGTTCAATTGATTAGAGAATGAAATAAGAGCTGAATGCACAACATTACAATGTATTGATCATATTTTTAAAGTATACAATACCAAATCATCGGATGTATACGTTGATGAACAATGCTGGTGGGCGGCACATGCTTCTCCATGAGGAGTAACACGCATAAGTAAGCAAGTATACGTCACCTTTTCTGGTTATACGTAAACAACAGTTAAATTCAACAGTATTAGAAAAACAGTTGGTCACGTACGCATAATGTTAACCACTTTTCATTTCCTTCATATTTAACTTATCACTTCGGAACCATCTCTGCAAATAGTACACATAAAATAAATAACAAACCAGTTCTTTCTCTCTTTTCTATATTGTTCTTTCTAGGCCTCATTAATACCAAAGAAAAGTTTTCCATCTATCTTATTAAATGAGAAGTCTACATGCTTTTGGTATTATTCGAAATCTAGCAAAAACCTGCCAAGTATGATTTGATCAGATACTAGCCATTCATTCCACTAACATTTTTCTCTTTGTAAATCGTCTGGTAGAACAAGACGCCGATACATTAGAATCAATGTATACGAGCAGAAGTACAGATGCTCTACAACACCGCTCTTATCTAGCAAATATATTGTATGACGAAAAGGTTATAAGAGCTGACCTAATCAAAAACGTACACTCATGAAAATATTAGGAATTTATGGTTGTATGGGTCCTCAATACTTATCTATTGTTTTTTTTCCTTTTGTGTAATAAAACAGTACGAAAACTTTGTGGAAATACTGCATGCTGGGCATTTTAAATTGTATTATACATATGGTTCTGAATAAAACTATTACAATTATTATCAGTATTATTAGTATCATTACTCTCTTTCTGCTCCCTGTCTGTCTTTCTCTTCGAGATAACCAAATTTAATTCATTAGTCCTGAATGAATTTAACCAACTTAAAGAAGTATTTTCAACAGTTATAGTACAAAACCATAAACTATGGAACCAACCAAAGTTGTAGTGATGAGGGCACGCATACACATAATGACAACATACGAATCCTGTTGTATTACACAACACAAAATCATTTGAGTTTGTTTTTTTTTTCACAAAAAAAACACGATCATATTAACTAGTCATTGTGTACGTGATGAAAATGACCTTCATCACAATCTTCCAATTATATATAATTGAACAAAAATAAAGTACACCTAAAATAATCAAAATTCATTTCATAAATTACGAAACAACAATGTACTTTATGTAATTTTCCATTTCATATTTAGAAATCAGTCAATAAATTATATTTTTAAGAAAATTAAATTGAGAAAGTTTATCATGATTATGATTAGTTTCAATAGTTGAGATCGTAAGTTAATTAAAGCTAGACCACCATGGAAAACCTGGAAGCACTGAACGGCCATTTCATCCTATTATGGGACTCCTCAGCAGTGCACAGCCACATTCACTCACTGATGACAATGGTGCATGTGTCGCTCAATTTCGTGGATTAGTTGAAGTTAGACATTAACACCTCTGGATTCCGACTCACTGGTCTAGTGGTTAAGCGATCGCGCGCGAGACCAATAGGTTCTGAGCTCGAATCCCGTGGGGCGGGGGTCGTGGATGCTCACTGCTGGGGAATCCCACAATGGGTTGAAATGGCCGTTCAGTGCTTCCAGGTTTTCCATAGTGGTCTAGCTTCAATTGACTTATGATCTCAACTATTGAAACTACTACAATCTCCACAAAACCCCTTCGGATTATCGTTAGACTAGTAATTGTCTGTTAAATAAAATTAGTTTCTACATTGATTTCTTAAATAAATTCTATTAAAAAAGAAAAAAGTTATTGTTATTATGAAAAGCAAAGATTCAAGTAATAAGAATTACTAAGAACGAATTACTCGAATTCAATATAGAATATCAACAACATAATTCATACTCTTAATATCATGAATAATAATATAAGCATCAGACTCGTTCAACAAGTTAGTGACTGTATGAAATTCAGTAGCTTGGTGAATAGTGCGTTAGACGTTTAAAGTGAAAGGTACTGGTTTATAGTTTCAGAATAAGTTGTGATACAGATGTGTGCTTAGCTGACAAATCACAAATTGAGTGAAATACACTTGCCAGATTCTATTGTTAATTATAATCCATCAATTCTGAAATACTATGTTACAGGCAATTAAGCAAATGTCTATTATTTGGCTGCTGACCCACAGTATATCTAGGCATATTCATATACAATGATGAAGGAATTTACTTAAACACATACCTGACAGTAAAACAACGCAAATTATTTAGTGTTGGAGTTAGAGATGTTTCATTTGAGAAAAAAAGGAGTACTACTACACGAAATCCATCTAACAGAACCAATGTAGTCATAATTGTATGTATGTGGAGATCATTTAAATTGAAAATGTTTTTAGATTACAGACTCGTTCTAACCAGACAATCCCTAAAAACCAAGAAGTTCTGAAGTTCATTTTAGTATGAGACTCATCAGCGATGCATAAACACAACCCTATTGACTCAGAATTTTCAATGAGCGCATCACCTTTGTATATCAGTAAGTTCTCATGCCTTGATTCACAATTACAATTGATTTACAATTTAACACTACCATCTTGCATTACAAATTGATGCTTATTGTTCAATGAGTAAAATTGCAAACTCTTTATCAACTCAATCATCTCAGGATATACATATAACAACAGAGATTGATCAATTGCAATTCTGAATGTCAATAACTTCAATTTGTCCTATCTGTTTGTTTATTTTATGTTGTTTTTGTTTTTGAAAAAAAAAAGCGGACATAATCACGGTCAATCAATTTGAACGTTATACATAGAACATAATGAGAGTAAAATGAAATAAGTAATTGTTTAAATATTATTGAATATAGCAACATTCACATATACACACGAATATAATGAAACCATTTTATGACCTTTTTTTCATTAGTACAACAGAACCATTACAAGTAAACACAAATGCACAATCATGAAAAACACGATTAGTTTTATTTACATAAAAGTTGTAGGAACTAAGCAATTTATGTAATAATAGAGTCCTGATTATTGTTAATAGTATTCTATTTAGTAGTACCGTGAGTTTTTCAGTAATTATATATAAACAGATATATAATAGCCGTATTCTTATTTATATCATAATTCATAAAAATTAGTTTTCATATAACATATAAAATTTAAAACTGTTAATCGCTGTGATGAAATGAGATAATTCAATGAAAAACTAAAGATTATTGAAACTATGTGATAAACCGTATGGTTAACATTATGGAATAAACTTAGTCAAACAACCATTGTAAACCAGAAGGCAGTAGATGGTTGTTTGTTTGTTTTTCAAGTATAGGACTCTTCAATACGACCCTACCACTAGGGATCGAAACCAGAATGTTCGGTCTCTCAAGTAAACACTTAACCTCTAAACCAAAATCAATTTATATAACATAAAATATTTACTAAACCTTTTATGAAATTGTATGTTATCTGTGCACCAAAAGTACATTGAGAAGATTGATATAAACAACAATAATATAAACACGGATAAATTTGATAGAATATGAATGAATGAGATTTGAAAATACAAACTTTTATTTGGTGGATAGAATATTTTTCAGTAAATATGATCAATAGGCAAAAGATATTTGGAGTATCCTA